TGCTGTTTAGAGGAGGGCTTTCCGACTAGTCAAGAACTCTGATGTAACAGATTATCTCGGAAACCTTTTGCATTTTCTCCGCATGATCTTCTCGCTCTATACAAGGCCCAGATAAGGCCTAGCGTCGAGTATTCCTCACACGTTTGGGGTGCTGAGACTGCCAGGCAAATCGGCCTGATCTCGGCCTCCCACCCTAGCCGGGTCGAACTTCGTACGTCCAGAACTGGCCGATACGACCTTTCCTTTGTCCCTAGGATATCGAGATTGTAGAACATTCCCCATGAGGAAGCTTTTCCTAGTTCTACCAACCTTAGGTAGTTCTAAAATCAGATTAATATGGTTTCTTCAAGCTCATCTCGGCTTCTGCTCACGCGGCTGCTTCGGTATAAAAGAAATCAATAACTCCAATGACGTTTCGGCTACCACGGTAAAAAGGCATCAAGGACCTCCAGTACCGCCATCTCACATAACGAGCAACAGTAGGGGAGTTCGTAACCCTTGACATGCATAGATTCGCGTAAAATCAACGTATTGCCATGATTAGAATCGGATGGTAACGTGAAGTTGGTGAGCACAGCTTTAGAATTATGTGGATATCTTACACGGTGTCCGGGTAGTTGAAAATTTTATTGGACATGACATTTGGTTAACGTCCGCGAAGGTGGGAGATATTACCCCAGGTCTAGAAAGATTTTACTACGAGTTGTAGTAAGTTATTTATAATCAAACGCCGTTATAATTAACATCATTAATCGATAAATCTAAAGCAGATAAATGAAAATTCAGCTTTTGTCAGCATTTTGACTTGAGACCAAAATCGCAGTTATTTCAACAGTAAAACACAAAAATATGTTCAAATAAAAACCTTGAAAATGTTCTGGATTATTGAAAATGAAAAAATTGGGAATTGATAATTCTCAATCAGCGAGTTAAAAAAGCCAATGATATAAACTTTATTTTTAACTTTTTTGCGTGAAAATTGAACCTTCATATAGTAATTTCCATTAAGGAACACTTTCTTTTTAAATAATTCTAAACTACTCAAAACATTTATGTATGGAATTCCACCTCGTTCATATCGTCGCCTTTCTCACGAAGTGTTCTAACTGACAAAATACCAAAAATTGAGATAACCCGCATATAGGTGTATTATTCCATGCTGGTTAATCTGACGAAGAAGCATAACTATATATCTATTAGTGTGGGCAACACACCGTTAGCCCCTGGGTGTCTTATCTGCAAAGGTAAATTTATGATTCCCACGAAGAGACCTAAATGAAGATAAGTCCCTTAGTGTCCAATAATCCTTGTTAGTATACGCTCCTCGGTGGTGGAATCATGGCCAAAGTGAGGGAGAATCTGCTCACAGTGCATTCATACGGCGATAACGGGACTTGGAGATCTTTTTGAACCCTCATAACTCTATCCGGTTTTTTGATTCGCCAGAAAACGTCAACCTTATTTAGTAATTCCCAATGAATTTTTTGACTTCAAGAAACTTTCAAAAGATTTAAGAATATTGTCCACACGGCAAGCTGAGGAGGGGCAAAATATTAAACGGAATTCATTGTAATAAAAGACACGCCCACCAAAATATTTTTTAAGTCTAGCGACCACGATACTAGTTATGACAGTATTGAGTTAAACAGGCTGATGAGAAATAGTAATAATATAAATGATATTAAACTAGAACAACTTAAAAATAACAAAATAGAAGTACTCCGACTTAATTTCGTTATGTAAAATCCGAAAAACGCCAGTTAGTTGTACGCTTACCAGAATTCCAAAACTTTTACAAAATTTGGCCCATGAAACGGAATGAATTTTTGATAATTTTGCCTGTTTTTGTGTATCACAACACATCAACATTTGCTGGTAATATGTCGAAATATAATATTTAAGTCAGTTGCTTTTCTTTTAGTTCTTATTTTAATAAAAATTGGTTTGACGTATCGAGTTGTTTTCTTCATCTAATCACGTAATATTTTTGTCATAATCTACATCAATTTTAGGCATGGACATTGAGGAAAATATTTTAGGGGATAGCCAAACTTCAAAAGTCGATCTGAACTTTTTTACATCAACTTTGCTGTCAGCAGACCAACGATTACTTAAAAAATTTAACAATCAACAAATTTTCTGAGATAATCGCCCCCTTGGCTGGAAATATGATTCTTTGCTTATAAGTAAATGAAACAAATTCTGTATATCTTAAAAAATTATAATAACAAGAACTTCAATGAAAATATATTTTAGCTCTGTCTGACAAATATCTTCTGAAAATTCTCACGAAGTGACCTACGTGCGTTTTCCATTTTTTTCCAAAATAGCTTGATAAGCTACCGCAAATATTGAAACGGCATATGATTCACAATGAATATAGGCTAATACACGTGAATTTTCAATTCGGAAATATCTAAACTTTACATACAATGCTCCTGTAAAATTCACTAACCGTTGGTTAGGACACTTCGTGAGAAAGCCGACGATATGTCCACCACGGGCACGTTCGCAGCGATCGATTCGTTGAACCCAATTTTCAATGACTCGGCCACACATTTCGTCAGAAACGGCCACTATCTCTCGTTCAATATTGGCTCTGAGCTCCTCCAACGACGCCGGTTTGTTGGCATAGATCAATGATTCAATGTAGCCCCACAAAACAGTCTAGAGGTGTTAAATCACACGATCTAGGTGGCCATTCAACAGGACCATTTCTCGATATAACACGTTCACCGAATTTTGATTTCAATATGTCGATTGTTTCACCCGCTGTGTGGCTTGTGGCACCGTCTTGATGAAACCACATATCATTAATGTCTAGCCCATCCATCACTGTAACGTGACGGTCATTTTCATCAACGAAAAAAACAACGGCCCAATGGCACTACCGCCATGAAAACCACACCATACAGTTATTTTTTTTAGATGAAGTGGTGTTTATTGAAGCACGTGAGGGTTTTCACCTGACCAATAACGCATATTCTGTACGTTGACCAAGCTGTTTAGCCAAAAATGCGCCTCATCACTGAAGATGATTTTGCGATGAAATTGGTCATATTCTTGCAACATATCTCGAGCCCAATTCGAGAACGTACGTCCATTCATATGATCGAACGGCTTTAGTTCTTGAATTAACTTGATCTTATGAGGGTGCAGGCCAGCAGCGAATATGAGGACTCAACTTTTTTTACTGGACTATGAATTGCTTGTCTACTGGCACGAGAATTACGACCAAAGATTGGCGTTAACGCTCTTGAAGTTGCAGTTACCGACTCGGAATTTCGGTAGTAAATTTTAATTATTTGTAAGCGTTGTTCGTTCGGGTACTTCACCATGATGAAAATGTTTTCTTTACTGAATGTATTGACACTGACAGTTCGGTAATTTATTTAAAGGTGCGTTCACAGTAAAAGTTCAAAGTTGTCAAGTCCCTATTGGAAAACCCGATACATACATCATACGCATTTTCGCATTTATAATATTAGTAGGTAAGTTGGGATTAACAGCCCTCTCAAGCATGTACTTTTTCAAGATCTTAAAGAAATCCATGATATCTGATTTGGAGGTATGGTAACTCTCTGAGTAGCATAAAATATTCAATTCTTAATATTAAAACACGTAATTCAAAATATTAAATTTACTTTGGTGCCTGAAAAAGAATTATTCGATGAAGCATGGTAGAATGAAGGTTGCACAGGTGTAATGCATGGAATCTAAACAGTATTTTACATAGACGTAGGAGAATTTGGATTCAGTACTTAACCCTGGTCGGCCTTCTGCAATAACCACGAGTTCATAGTCAAGTTGCTTGGCTCGTGATGACATTAACGGTGTTAATTACTCGCGGCCTATGATTTAGGCTTATCAGCAACGAAATGAATAATAATGTACAAACATAATAGATCAGCTGGTGGTAGCAGCAGGTATAGTCACACGCATCTCATGGAAGTGTTCAACTTGTGCGTTGTGGGAATTTGTATCAAGCACAACAAAGGTCGTTTTGTCGAATTCCACAATTGCAATGCTAACAGACTCATTTGAATCTAACATTGCTATCATAATTCATTTTCATCTCACAATCAGTGTAATATATGTATAGTTCAAAAATAATAAGATCCATCATTTTTCCCACATATTTATTGCGTAAGTAGGTACTCGCAAGTTTCCTGGAAAGAGCATATACTCCAGGATAACGACCGTACATACCATATACAGTAAGTTAAAAGGAGTATTACACAGCTTAATTAATCATATGGAGTGTAAATAGCAGGACTGTCATTGTGTTCGCTAGTGAGGATACCTTGATCAATTTTGTTACCGATTCCAGTTCTGTCTGATTTGTGTGATTTGGGGGGGATTTCGTGTAAAAAAGTTTAGCAGATATCTGAAAGTTTTAAATAAAACGGGGCTCTTTCTAATTGCAAATACATAAAAAGATACATACAGCCAGATATGCGTTGTTTTTTATAAACAATGTGAAAAACTCAAAATTCAATATTTTGCTTGTATAATATCAAACCAAACTTTATAAATAATCGGTAAGCAGGAGATTCTAGCGCATAAAAAGGCCTTCAATTTTATTTTTTAAGAATTGAAATGGATAAACAATTAAGCTAAATACGGGGCTTTTTAGCAATATTGAATGAATGTTTATGACTATTGCAATTATAGTTGTAAATGTTTAAAAACTTGTGAGAATGAGGGCATCATTGGTGTTAATATGTATGCTGAATTTCAGCCGGATTGGTTTAATAGTATATGTAAGAAGCTAGTTGCTTGTCCCAGAGCCAAATTATTTAAATTACTGTTCTTACCCAATATATGGGCCTAGAGCATTTTGTGAAATGGTGAAGGTGTCAACTTCAAGAATTTATGCAAAAAATTAATGATTTATTTCAAAATTGTTGTTAAAAATACTCATTTTTATAGTTATAAACAATTACAATAACCCCGTTATTTTTTCAATATAATTTATTTTAACAAGTTGATCTTGATAGGTGGTTAAAAACGAATATTTAAAAAACCTTCTACGACCAATAGAAGCCAAGGTAAACAAAAATTTTGGAAACGAAGTGACAATGGTTTGGAACCGATCTATACTATGGACAGTTTAATACCAGGCGTTACTATCAAATTTCCTGCAAACGTACTACGGGTTGCCGAACGGGTAGGTGTAGTTGCAAAAAACATGGGTTAAATTTGCATACCTTCGTGCTTAAATTGTAATGATGGTGATGATGACACAAAATGTTACAGCCTTGCTGTAATTTTAATTGACGATGATGGGCAGACTGAGAAACTCACATCGACAGTTTTGGCACATAGAATTCGTAAAATGACGTTTTGGTCATCAGCATAGGAGTTAAAAGTTACGTTCATAAGGAATACCTACTTCACATCTTATGCTTATGTTTGTGGCTATTAAAAGTTTGTATAAACCCGCCATAATAGGCGAGGCAAGCAGACATGTTTTTGGGTTTTGTATGTTATCTACAACAAGAAAGATTACGTTACTGTATTTTGTTAGTCGGTTTGTCGATCTGTAATCTGCAAATCTGTACGTTCACCCTCCATAACGCGAAAGGTCTTACAAGGTTTTCAATGAACTTTCTAAACTCCTATGTAACAAAATGAACGGAGACTTAAGGGTAGTTTTTTTTTCAGAATGAATATCATTCCGATAGCACCAATTTTCAGAGGAAAAAAGAACCTCTGCAGAAGTCCACGTCACATGGAGTACAACACAAACTCAGCCAAAATGCTAGTCAACAGGTAAATAATCGATTAATAGAACGCTCAAATCGAAACTTCAGCTTGATTCAGTAGTCTACGATTTCATAAAGCCTGTGTTGTTATTTATGGTATTTTTGTTTTTAGATGAAATCGTTCGCTTCGGAACCTGATTTGAGACTGACGTCATTGAACAAGCAGATGATGAAGGAGAGGAGATCCAAGAAAAAATACAAGGCCCCTTCCCCACCTAACAGAACCGCTTCGGTAAGAACAGTGAAAAACAAAAATATATTGCTTCTGTATACATTCAAAATATGTATTTCTTAGAAAATGGGGAGATTGGGGACGTGAGATAACACCTTTTTACAAAGTATTATATACAGGGTGTAATGTTAGTTGTGGATTAACGGAAGTCAGGTGATAGACCTATCGATCGAGATATTTGCAATTTTGTGAAATTTCTAAAAAAACGGGACAATGAACTAACTTTCAATCGCATTACAACTAAACCAATAGGCTTAGAGCTGTGATTTTTTTTCCTGAGATGAGTTAAATGGTTGGTTTTAGCAATGATTATGTCACTTTTTAACAGAGCTAATTAGAAATCAACGCACAAAATCTGAAATTCATTTTTTTGTGAAAAATCTCTTCCCTCCCTCAACTTTGTAGGGCGGTAAAAAAATTCAGGCGGTATTTCATAATTAATTTTATTGTAGAAGCTATTTCAATCCATGTAGAATAAACCCTGAAAATTTCAGCTTCCTACGATAAGTGGCTCACCTTAAAAAATCTGTATGTTTGACGCAGGTGGGTATCTGAACAAGAAATTCTATTTTGCAAGCTACAGTCCAAATGACTTGATTTGATTTTGACATACGAGGTACTGTTAGATTTGTCCTAGTAGTGCCAGTAATACTGTGTGTATTAACATTTTGTAAAAGTCAGGCAATGGTCCAGCGCGGAATTTATATCTAACGTTTGGCATCTGAGTAGAATCATGTCATATTCTCCGCGAGATTATGCAGAAATGCATTACTATTATGGTGCTGCCCTAGGAAATGCTGGAGCAGAGCTGCTGGCATGTATCGGGGGTATGTGGTTAGAAGAGGTGGGCCACTACCGGCGGTATATCTCGAATACCGCGTTTTTCTACGCGACCATAATGCGTATATGGAGGGCCGCATACTTGGTACTCATCGTCAGCTAGGAGCGCCGAGGATACGCCCAGAGAAAATAGAAGATATAATAGAATCAGCCGAGAGCGATCCCTCTATAAGCACCAGAGCCATTGCACGAAGCAGAAACATATCCCATATTTCAGTGCACACAATACTAAGCTCGGAGAACATGCATCCTTACCATGTACAAAAAGTACAAGAATTGCTTCCAAGCGACTATGCACAACGGGTTGAATTTTGTGAGAATATGTTGAGACGGTGCAAAGACGATGAAACTTTTTTCGACAACATCTTATACGAGCCTCTGCCCACTTCAGTTGGCCCACTTAAGATTTGTACCAAAATATGCCTTTATAAACTAAACATGACGAAACTATTTACTTCTAAAACAATTTATATACCATCACCTTTATTTTTTATTACGGCTGAAATTCTTTAGGGCATAGTGTTAACCAAGTTTTGGCAGAAATTTTTTGTAAAACAATCCCATATTTCTTGAAGCTTTTATCTCAGTTCGGTGATTGTACGAGCAAGATGTTGTCGTGCCTTTTTCATCTCGTGCCACAAAGTTTCAATAGGTGACAGATCTGGACTGCTAGAAACCCATTTCAAAAGTGGTACATTATTTTCTTCTATCCATTTTATAGCCTTTTTTGAGATATGGTACGCTGCAACATCCTGCTGAAACACAAAATCTTGGCCGGATGTCAAACATTCTTCCATCACTGGTAAAAGCGATTCTTCTAAAATTGCTAAATATTTGTTTGCACATTTCCATCAATAAAATGAAGTTTTCCTACTGCTCCTTGGATGACATACTGTCCCAGACCATAATGGATGCTGGAATTGTCACTTTTCTCTTCAGACAGTCTTCATGGAATGCTTCATTTTTTTGCGAATAATTCTACTGCGACTGTCACCAACACAAACTTCGAATCGGGCCTCATCACTCCATTGTATTGCACACCATTGTTGAGTTATCCATTGTCTATGTTCTTTAGCCCATCTAAGCCGATTTTTCTTTTGCAGTGGAGTTAGTAGTGGCTTTTCTTTGGCCTATAAACAAGTTGTGCAACTTTAGGGTTTTTACAGTTTGTGGGCCTCTATGAGTTGTGGACCTCGAAATTCTCCTTCCAACAGCGTCACTCCACAGAGCACTTAATTGTAAATAATTGGCACGCCTGTTTTTCACGATTATTTTTTTTAATGCTCTTCGGTCGGCATTTGTGATATTACTTTTTTTCACATATCGTGACTTAATATTAACTGAACCAGTTACGTTATATCTTCTAACAATATTTATCACACTGTACCGCGATAAATCTAACAAAGTTGCAATTTCTGAGTTTGATTGCCCAGAAGTAAAAAATTAATTATCAGTAACCGAATTTTCTCACTAATAATCTTTCCTCTGCCCATTTTGAAAACCTTAACTACCCAAAACTACTTTAAACGTATTGTGATTGTGATTAATAAAAACAATTGTCATGGCTTTTATTTTTCACACCCAGACAGCATTGAAATGAAAACAGGTTGATATGCTGTAATTGCAACATGTGTTATTTTTATGCTGCAAATTTGATTAGGGAGTGATAATGTTGGTGTTTTCTACTATATATTATCAAAATATGCATTGTTAGTATTTTAAACCTATAACACCCTGCTACATTTTTATTGTTTGTGTTTGATAAGAAAAAAACTAAGATTTCAATAGTTGGCCCAACTGAAGTGGGAAGGGGCTCGTAGTCAGATGAATCCAACTTTAACCGAAATGGTATATTCAACATACACAATTTTCATTCATGGAGCGTGGAAAATCCACACGCTATTCGCCGACACAGCTTTCAACGTCAGTTTGGCGTTAATTTATGGGCTGGAGTACTCAATAAAAAATTAAATGGACCATATGAATTGCCCGCCAGGTTGAGTGGTCAGTCATATCTTGCTTTTCTACAAAGCAGTTTGCATGAGCTGCTAGAGGATGTACCTTTGGACCTTCGAAGCTGCATGTATTTCCAATGCGATGGTGCCCCATGCCACTTTGCACGGGATGTACGGCATTACTTGGACTTTGACAGTGCCTTTCCTGGGCGTTGGATAGATACAGGTGGATACATACGATGGCCTCCAAGGTGACCCGATTTAAATTTTCCAGATTTTTTTATATGGGGGTTTTATAAGGGGATAATCTATACATCTGAATATACAAATGTCAACCAACTGCGCGAGAAAATTGATGAAGCAAAAATAAAAATTATGGAAAACTCAAATTCATTTCAAAGACTAAAGGACAATTTTGTTAAAAGATGTCGCTTGGGTATAGAAAATAATGGAGGCCATTTCGATCATGTTCTTTAAAAGTTAAATTAAATTATTTACCATATCTGTCGGTAAATCTCCTTAAAGAGCGGCTAAACACAATAGGTTTAGTACTCAGGGACCGGAACAGGTCAGGACGAAAATAATATGAAAATATGAAGATTTCTTTTTGGAAATATGAAGAAATATGAACTTTAAAAAACAAATATGAAGTTTTTTTTAACCAAATATTAGTGCAAATTGCAATAGTTTTTTAGTAATAATCCCCTACCAAATGGCCGGTTAAGTCAAACTCAGCTTTTTCAAAATAAATTTTTAACGAAAATACTACTATAGTAAACAGAAAAAAGTGGAACTTGACCTGGATGGGGTATGGCCTACTAAACTATTAATTTATTAGAAACTTGTTTAGGAACAGAAACAGGTACAAAACATTGAACGAAACAGTGTATTCTTTTCTCGGTCTCTTAGCAAAAAAGTGTGTTATTAAACGTTTTTGCCTCTTGCCTATTTGGTTTTGAATTTGGGTCACCTCTTTTTCCTTATCCTCTAGTTCTTTTTTTGATGTTAAAAATCCATCAATCAATGCTTCAGAAATTTTGGCTTCTGCAAGGTCACCCTTTTTTAATGCGCCTTTAAGTCTGTCTGAGGCTTCATTTATAAGTTTATCTGATAGCGTGGTTTGTAGCTTAGCATCATTTTTTTTCTTTTTTAGTTCGATTTCTAATTGTTTCAGCTCATCTTTACTGTTATTTGCATCATCTCGTTTTAATCTTTCTTCTTGCAATAACTTCTTTAAAGCATTTTCATCATTTTCATTTTGTTTTCTTCTTTTTCTTTCTTCTTCTAAACTCATATTATAATATTTGTAAGCAACTCGTGCCATTGCTATTAAATTTTTGCTAATGGGCACATGTCCTGGCTTAATGTCATAAATTTTTAATGCGTCGCAAATAATGAGCCGTGAATTTAACATTTTTTCTTTCATATTTGTTCTTAGCTCACACATTACTTGATTAGACAAAGAGAACCCTCTTTCAACTTCGGCGCTTCCATGGTTAATACTTAACGCTGCCTTAAATAAGGTTTGAACTGAAGGATATTTTATTTCGCCTGCATGATTCGTTTTTTCAAAATAGTAGTTCCAATATGCTTCTACTCTAACATTTCCTTCTTCAGGCTCTTCCTCTAACTGTAGCAATTTCCATTCGTCAACTACACAATCCAACTTTAAATCTAGCGGAAGGCTATTTAAAAGATTAGTTAAATCTTTAACCGTTGAGTCATATTTTCTACTGCTAGGATTAAGACATCTTAAATATTTAAGATTTTTATTTAACAGGTTATCAGCTGTAATTAAGTAGGATCCGGCGGCCAAATAATGTTTCTGCACATTATGAAAAAATAATATTTTATCCTTTTCTGGAATTGCCAATAACTCTTTTTGTAAATCTTTTTCAAAAATCAAATTCTGTGATGGCTTTAATTTATTTTTTTCAAAAGGATTAATATTTGAAGGCATTGATTTAAAAGCTTTAATTACGTCTTGCTTGCAAATCTAGATAGATATCGAAATAACAAGGTCTATTCAATTCAGAATATACTTAATGAATTAATGGTTTCTCTTTCTGGAACATAGTAGCATGTTTTGTAAATAAACTTATACTCGACAGCAAAAAGAGCATTTCACATTTTCAAGTGTTTTGCTTAAGGAAACCGCAAATGGTACTGTAACCAGAACTTTTCATTTGATGGTCTGCCTTGAGAGGTATAAACTTAAGAATGTACTCATTAATAGCCTCCCATTGTTCCAAAATCCTTTCAACAGCAGGACCTAAAGTTAGCCATCTGCTACTAACATGCTTTAAGAATTTGTGTTCTGGAACACCCTTTTTTCGTTGTATCGCATTATAGTCCTCGCACCTTGAAGGCTATCCATCAAAAAAATAATATATAGCTATAATTAAATTACAGCAATCTTCTCCTAACTCTTTGAGACCCTTCAAAAAACTATTATGAACAGTGTGGATGGTACATAACCCCATATCCATTAGCGCCTTACCCCAAATACTCAAAATATACTCTTTTTATTAACGTTTGGACCGTCGATAGTGATGGAGATAAGTTTTGCTAATGGCAAGTTGGAATTATCTATTGCTTTTAAAATTGCACTTTTAAGATCTTCTGCCGTTGCATGGCCCATATAAAAGCTTTCTAAGTGAAATGATACTATTTGGCATGCTTTTTTTTTGACCAAAACTTTATTCTTATTTGCAACTCTTTCTTTCCAGTATTATTGGTCGTCTCATCATATTGAAGTGAATAATAAGAATTTCTGGCTTCTTCAAGCATTTCATTTCTGAAATGGGGACCTAGCGCATCTGTAAAAAGATAATTTATTTTTTCGGACTTAAGGAAAATTGATCTGGTACAGCACCTTCAGCTGGAAACATTTTCTTAAACAAACTAGCTATCCCAGATACTGAATCTGCCGAAAAGTTTGATGCTACAACTTTAAGGGCCCACATTAGCTCGGCTTTAACTGCTGCATCTTTACTATTTGTTAGTGTAAGCAAAGAACTACCTGCTTTCTCCGAATCTTGAGACACTTGTATGTTTTGCGAAGAAAGCTTCGCAAAACAATTTTTTTATGTTTTTCGCCATCTATATGTTGCTGTATGCTAAAAAATCCTCTGAAAATGTGAACCACTTTAAGACAAACATTGCAAAAAGTTCATTTTCACTGTGCTTTATGGCCCAATGTGAAATCAAATAGTTATTGCTGCCTTTCTTTGCAACCATTCTTCTTGAAATTTAAACATTTTGTCACCATTCTACTAAAATCAGTCATATTTTCCCATGTAATAGCTAAACCAAGCACCTATTTGATAGCAACCAAAAATAATACCTAAATTAAAATTTTTCCGATTTTTGGTTACTAAACTTGATTTTTCTGTTACATGGGAGTAAAAATACAACACTAAAATATGTAATTTTAAACTGTGTAGTCATCATTATAAACCCTATATAAACAAGGTTTAGAATGATGACCACTTCCTGAAAAAAATGTTGCTAACACTGCCAAAAAATCGACCGGAGCAACGTAAAATTCCCTCAGTTGATCTTCATTGGGAAAAAAATGAAAAATATGAAGATTTTTCTAAAAATACGAAGCTCTATGAAACTTAAAAAAAATATGAAGAAATGTGAAAAATATGAATCTGTTCCGGAGCCTGTACTTGTAGGTGGTAAGGATTCTATTGCGTTTCTTACGTTTATCGCATCACAACAACGAATGTAACATGATACACTTATCGTAGCAAGCTGAAATTTGCAGGGTTTATTCTACATGGATTGAAATAGTCTTTACAATAAAATCAATAATGAAATACAACCTCATTTTTTTTACCGCCCTCCAAAGTTGAGGGAGGGAAGAGATTTTTCACAAAAAAATGAATTTAAAATTTTTTGCGTTGATTTCTAATAAGCTCTGTTGAAAAGTGGCATAACCATTGCTAAAAGTTACCATTTAGCTCATCCCAGAAATAAAACACAGCCCTAAGCCCTTTTTTTCGAAATTTCTCAAAATTGCAAATATCTCCTGAACTATACAATTTCGGACCACACATATAGGGCTTCATTCGATAGGTTTTGGCTTCCGTTGATCCACTACTATCTTTACCCCTGTATATCATTATGAGATACCGTGCACAGGACGCTTAAATTTTGGAGGCTGGATTTAATATCGCTGGCTCGATTGCATGATATACAGGGTGGGCCATTAAGTTGCGCGGATTTTAAAAAATCATAGAAAAAACTACAAAGTGTAGGGAAGATAACTTGTATTTTTAATGAAGTAGACACATCGGCATTTTATTATATAAAAATAACATCTTTGAGATGTGAGCCATCGAAACGTACGCACTACTCTCATCGCTTGTGGCATAGCGGTCATCTCCTCGGAAATATTTTGCTTGAGCTGGGCGATCGTCGTAGGTTTATTGGCGTAAACGCGGCTCTTGAGGTATCCCCAGAGAAAAAATCCAGTAGCGTGAGATCTGGTCTCCGGGGAAACCACGGAATGTCCCCTCGTCGCGATATCAGTTTTCTACTAAACATTTCGTTTACAACGGCTAAAGACGCGTTGACGGTATGGGATGCAGCGCCATCTTGCTGAAACCAGGCTGTGCTATAGGCTTCAAAATTATGCAGTTGTGGAAAGAAAAATTTACTCAGTATTGCTGTTTAGCGATTAGAATTTACTGTTATAGTCTGGCCTTGCTTGTTTTAAGGAAAAAAAATTGATAACATTGTTAGGGATATCCGTTTGTTGTAACTTATAAATAAGAGTACTACGAGTAATACAGTCAAAGGCTTATGAGAGGTCGGTAGTAACCGCAGCTACGTGATATCGTTCAAATCAATGCATCACACTTCCATCACTTTATTTGTAGTTCTCCATATTTCTGTATTTTCACTAAGTACCTGTTATTCCAGAAAGAAAAGCCTTTAACAGAGTGGGAAGACAACTCGAGCGATAACGAGTACTCAGTAAGACGACCAAGATTGTACAAAACTAGGGCAGAAACAAAAAAATCTAGTCATGTAATTAAGTCAAGTCCAGGTTCCCAAGACGGATCGAATCGTTTACCTTCTACTGTACCTACTGCACCTAACCATAGACCTAACAGGTTGTCTTTACCAGAAATGAAGTTTGCTGATACAGAGGAATTCCAGAATGAGCTTCGAGAAGCTACCAAGAGACTGCGGCATATCAGTGTGGAGTCTCAGACTATCATGAAATTTGATCTTACCAAAGCAGGCAATAAAGCAAATGCCCAAGAATCTTCTAAGGCAGATAGTAAAAATGTCAACTGTATCAGAGGAGAGGCTTCTGGAAAAGAATCTTCCAGTCAAGAGGCTTCTCCAAAGCTGCCACAGAAGGCGAATAAGCCAGAACAATCTAAGTTTTTCTATTTTGGAATGGAGGAACGTGGTAATGGTGATATAACCACGTATCGCACACCTCAAGTAATACGAGCATCGTCTGATTCTGATATTTCCACAGGTAGGTTTGGATGCACTTGTTTTTACGTTTCTTTGTTGAACAATAAAGTTTGGCCACCTATAATATTCCTTTAATCTTATACAATGCAATTTCTAGTTTCACTCATCTATCTATCTATCAATTATCAAGTTGCGGACGAATTCGCCCATTGTTGAGTGAACTATAGGGTCCGACCGAAGGTTGACATAGTTTTTCGGCCAAAGCCAATGTTAGAAGTTTCTGTTATGATAAACCGAGAGTGCATGAAATAGTATACTAAAGCGTACTGGTAACAAAATCAGTGATATATTCATTAGTATTGCTTACTCAATTGGAACAAATAAAAATTAGATACACATTTATACAGCTACATTGGAAACACTCAATTAGCTGGTAAAATTTTATAACACTTAACATGTAAAATAATATCTTTCAAGTAAAAGTCAGCTTTAAAAACAAGTAATAAGGTACGCCATTTAATTTTTTGGTACTAATTATGAAGTGAGTACCTGTTCCTAGTATTATGATCATAATTGTAGTATACTTTTTATTTTTAGGTTGATCTATAATAATTCTTATAATATACAGGGTGTAAACGTTATGGTAGTCATTATTGAAATGGGTAATAGGGGGGGTCAAAATAAGTCAAAAAGTTTATATGACCCATGGTCCAAAAGTCAATAGATTTTTGTCTACCGTAAATGGCTTTATAGTTTACAACTGTGAGTGCTTTATATCGACCACAATCACCACAATCTTACTAATTTTTATAATCTAATCTAAAACGTTTTTAAATTGGGTAATTGACAAATAAATGGCATTAAGTTAAGCCAAAATTTGTCGTCAGTAAGTAAATTTCATTGAATTAAATATTTAAAACACACATGACAACAACGCCTCGTCATCACTCTTATCGAACCGGCAATCTATCGCAAACGGTAACAGTGGTTAATTATGGGGCATCGGGCTTGTTTTGTTTTTGTTCGCGTACGTCGTCGGGTTTATTGCAGCTCAAATTTATCGCGACAGATTTCGCCAACGGGTACACTCAGACAGAAGGACATTTGTGCAAGTGTACCAAAGACTTCGAGATACAGGAAGTGTTCAGCCCACTAATATTCGCACTCGTGAAAGACAGGTTACTGTAGAGCAGGAGGAGCAAATTTTAAATATCGTGGAAATCAATGCAGATATCAGCATTCGGGAATTAGGCCGCCGCGGAGGACTATCGCATACCATAGTCCATAGAATCCTACGGGAAAATTTGCTTTATCCCTATCATGTACAACGAGTGCAGGCCTTATTGCCAGAAGACTATCCTCGCAGACTAACATTCTGTCAGTGGTTTTTGCAGAAAAACATTGAAAATCCGGATTTTTTTAAAAACATTCTAGCGACGGACGAATGTACTTTTACGCGAGATGGGATATTAAATTTCCATAATACTCACATGTGGGCCCAAGAAAATCCTCATACCATTCGTCATTTCCAACAACGTTTTAAAATAAATATTTGGGCGGGTATTCTTGACGATCAGGTAATTGACCCTTTCGAGTTACCCCCAAAGTTGTCAGGAGGAGGATACCTCAGCTTTCTAGCCAATAACCGACCAGAACTTTTGGAACAGACCTTAGACAACATGCCATTACAACGGAGACATAATTTGTGGTTTCTTCATGACGGGGCACCACCACACATTTTTAGAGGCGCCATTCAGTATTTGAATGAACATTATCCAAATCGCTGGATCGGTCGAAATGCTCCTGATCCTCGAAAATGGCCAGCAAGATCTCCTGACCTAAATCCGATGGATTTCTGGTATTAGGGAGAACTTAAAGAGATGGTTTATGGGGCTAGTCCAATAACAACTGAAGCACAACTTCGCGAAATAAAATTTAATGCGGCTGAAATAATAAATGGACAACTTTTAGGTCCTAGAGTAAGAAGAAACCGGGTTCGTCGTAATGAAGCTTGTGTGGACAGTGGAGGACGACATTTTGAACGCCTTCTTCAAATACAAAAAAAGTGCAGTGTGGGTTTTAAAAAGAAAAACAATGTATGTATCAAAATTGTGTTGCCTATTTATAAGAGGATTTTTTTAATACGTTCAATAAACTTTCGCACACCAGGTGAAGCGCTGAGATAGTTAGTGGTAAGACCGTTTTTCTTTAATTGTTTGCATTTTACGAGTACATTATCAAATAATGAAATAATACCCAAGAGCCAAAAATAACAAACACCATCTTTATTTACACTGCGTTCCGTCGTAATTTGCGTCTGGCATTGCGGCGTTGTCAGATTTTATTTTACTTTAAAGTCGCTTTTCTCTAAAAAATGCCGTTTTGACCCCCATGTTATATGAAACTTTTTGCTTATTTTAACGCCCTTTATCTCCCATTTAAATAATGACTATGATAACGTTTACACCCTGTATAATTTTGGTATGTTAAGAATTCAGTGTACAAAACTTCAGATGGGTATAATATGGGTTTATTGTATATTACTTTAAGAATAGATTTTAGAGCTTTTTCAACCAATAGATGGTCATATAATTTTGAAACTGATTATCAAACGGGTATCCATACTTTTTTTATAAAGAAGCAATCGCGTAGGTAGAAGCCTAAACACCAGAGCACCGCAGCTGCTATAGGGAGCTTAATGAAACTGACTAAGGTTGGTAGAACTGAGAAAAGCCTCCGCAGTGATTTTCAGAGCTTGGGATATTGGGCCCAAATCACCAGTTTATGGAGTAGCACTTTTTTATTGTACCTAACTTACGTTTAGTTGTTTGTTTCGGTATGGGTGCTACTCTCTCAATTTTAATGGGATCCACCATCTGCACTCCTCATTGACTTAAATATGAGATTCGATCGGCATGTCTCTTTCTTATCGTAGTAACGTATTTGCGTTTGAAACTCCTCTATTCTAATCGATACATCTTGAATTTTAAAACCCGAAAAAAGCTCGCTGAAAGTCTTGTGTTGTCTGTCATTTCTTACTCTCTTGTTCTTTATTACCCATGTTTAGACTAGGTCCACAAAAGGAAACTCCAGAAAATTCAGAACAGCCGTGGCTATCGATCCAAACAGGTTGTTTCACCTTTAGTTCAGTTTTTCTTGTGTTCATGTGATTTTTTTTTGTTTGACTATTTTCTACTATTTTTGTTTCAAATTTAAAACTCTCGCAATACTATCTGCATTTGTCTCGTGCAATCAATGTTGTCATTCTTATGAATTGTATTTTTTTTATTATTTTGTTTATGTGTTTAAGTATTCTTTTTTCCTGTTGTGGGGTTGAGTGTAAGAGTAGCCGTCTAGCTAAACTTCGCCTCACTGCAGCTAAGGCATTATTATTATTATTATTATTATTATTATTATTATTATTATTATTATTATTATTATTATTTGTTGTTGTTTTGTAGCTGATTTCGATGAGAAACCAACCTCCTAAGAAATAACCCTGATCTAAACAGAGATATTTTAAGAAAAGTTCCACATCCGAACCTACATAAGCAACATCACTGATTGCCTATGGAAAACCAACTTTATGAGGGACCAACGATATTTGTGATGAAATTGTTGTGTCCAAAAGATTTCTACACAATACTGAGCCGCTAAGGAAGAAAAATATAATCTGTGTGAAATCATACATTCAGAATTAGGTTGTTTTGAGCTCAAGAGATCAATTAATTATGAAATTTGCGAAAAGAAAATCATTGAAAAGGGTTTGGCCTAGGAATCAGTACTCTATCATTAATACGGAGAAATTCAAATTACTGTAAATGATCAAAATAGTAGAAAAAAAGTTATGTGATTTTGGTACGTTACAATATGAGCAGTACTCGAAGTTTAATTTTCTTCTCAATTATATTTGTAATAGAGATTGAATACTAAAAATAAAAGAAAGGCTTCTATAAAGTTCGTTTTTCTTGAAGATACACTACTACCTAACCTTCCGCATCAAATGAGAGACGTTTCTCAGAATATCTGAATTGTTAATTACTTATACAAATTCCTCGTTAACAAGTTTTGGTTTCGGTTACGGCTTCGGCCGAAACTAAAGCTAAGACCGAAATTTCGGTTTCGGTTGAAAAACTAGTTTCGGTCGGACACTATAATTTTGTATACGATTTGAAAACTTCCCACCACAAATTTATCGAGAACCACTGGGACACGTCAAAAGATTTGTTGAGGGAGACAACTTTTTAACCAAAAACTACTTCACCCGCGGCCCCCCAGGGTCATTCCCTTGAAAATTTTAAATGTCAAGTGGTACCGAGTAATAGTTTGTTTGAAAGGTCTTTTGAAGTCCTTTATTTTAACGTTTGATTTCTCAAAATCAGTGGATTCGTTTTTGAGAAAATTAGAAAAATCTTTATTTATCTTAACTTGTTCTGATAGAAAACAAAAACACACGAGAGGCTTTGTGAACATATGACTGCAGCGATTAATGATCATACCATGTAAAGAATATCTATTTCAGTGATGAATACACATTTTATCTAAATTGATTTGTCAATAAGCATAACTGCAGGTATTGGGGCAATGAATATCCTCATGCTTTTGTGGAGGAGCATACCCAGTATTTCCAAAAAATTAATGTATGGGCAGGCATTTTAGGAAATTTGGATATGTTGGAAAATACCATCAATCCGTTTATCACTGAAACCATTGAAAACCAAATCGAAGAGGACGGAAACCCTATACTTGATGAGGCTGAAATATATGTCCAGCAAGATGGCGCTCCTCCTCACTATGTTCTTCCGGTTCGGCAATGGCTAGATGGCGAGTTTCCAGATAAATGGATAGGGCAAAGAGGGCCTATAGAATGGCCTGCTAGATCACCTGATTTGACACCATTAGACTTTTTTCTATGGGGTCATTTAAAATCTATCGCGCTTACTCCCCAACCTGAAAGTTTCGATGAACTTCGTCAACGCATCATCGAAAGCTTACATGATATCCCACAACATGTTTTGGGAAATGTGATCATCGCCTATATCATCGTTTGGCTACTATCGGGCAACATTTTTGAAGTCTTATTGAAATAAAAAGTGATATTTTCGAGTGTTTTTGTTTTCTATCTGAACAAATTAAGATAAATAAAGATTTTTCTAATTTTCTTGAAATCGAATCGACCGATTTAAAAAAATCAAACGTCAAAATAAAGGACTTCGGAAGGCCTTCCGAACAAGCTACACTCGACACCCCTTGTCATTTAAAATTCTTGAGGGGATAACCCTGGGGGGCAGAGTTTGAAAGGGGGTGAAGTCGTTTTAGGATAAAAAGTTGTCCCTCTTTTTACGTGTCTCGACGTTTTTTTAATCAGTGGTTTTTGATAAATCTGTGGTGGAAAGTTTTCAAATAAACACCTTGTATATACATATTCACAATTATTTCCTCCTGATTCAGTACGTGAAACATTCCACAGATATAGACTCCGATGAAAACAACGGCAAAGTGAAAATCAACCTACAGCTACGACCTATACTGCCAAAAAAACAGCTGGAGATTCCCAGGTTTTCACCAGCAGATGCGTGGAAGCTCCTCTCCACAATCGAAGCAGCTACTGACATAACAGTTGCTAGTGACGATGCTTCTTTGTTTGTGGAGGAAAGCATCGAAAAGTATTCGAGACCACCGCCTACTCTGATGCACATGGGACCGCGATCAAGCCACGACAAATCGGGCGACTCTGGAATATCTGGGGACGATGCGATACAATTGGCTGGGTTCGATGATCCAATGGAACATCATGGGGTAATCAAACAGATACAGGTATAATGTAGAATTCAAAAAAGTAACGTCACAATGTCATTCGTTTCCCCAGGATTTGAATCGAACTGTTTAAACAATCTACAAAACAGAATTGATATAGATATTCAATACAAATGTGACCTCTATTACGATCCTCTTCAAATCTGTTATATAATTGTGTAGTTTTGTGACTTATATTTCTTATATACTAAGTGACATATAAATCCGAACACCCAGTTTAAATGGTTTTGTATAAGTACTTAATGAAGTATAATAAGTAAATGATAAAAATTTCAAAATGATTGCACGGCTTTAAAGCCCTTTGACCTTTAATAATGTGTGGATGCACCCTGATTGCTACGCATTCTCCAACGCGCCTAGGCATGCTTCTGATCAGGTGGTCAATGTCCTCCTGTGGTATCTCATTCCAGGCAACCACCAACTCCTCTCGAAGTGCTTCTAGAGTCTGAGGAGGACGTTGCAAATTGAGCAATCTCCTACCCATCATATCCCACACGTGCTCAATTGGGGATAAGTCGGGAGATCTTGGTGGCCGTGGTAACAATGTGACGTCATTATGTTGAAAGAAGACTATTGTGACTCTTGCAACATGTGGTCGGGCATTATCTTGTTGGAAAGTTGGATCTGCCAGGGTGTCGAGATAGGGTAAAAGATGGGGTTCTAGAACTTCATAGATATAACGCTGCGCGTTCATGTTACCTCTGATGAAGATTAAAGGTGACCTGGAACCACAAGCTATAGCACCCCAAACCATAACTCCAGCAGTGTGATGAACATGTCTTTCAACAAAAAACTGTGGATTCCTGCTTTCACCACGTCGCCTTCTAACCCTGGCGCGACCATCGTGCATGCCTAAACAAAATCGAGACTCGTCACTAGAGACAATACTGTTCCATTCCTGATCCCAGAGTGACCGTTGTCTGCACCACTCAAGGCGATTACGTCGGTGTTCTCGAGTTAAAGGGAGGACCCAGTGTGGCCGGTATGAAAACAAGCCAAAACTTCTCATTCGTCGGTAAACACTTCGCATGCCAATAGGTCTTCCGTGTTCTGCAAACCATTCATTTGCAATGGACCGGGTAGTGGAGAAACGGTCCCTTAAGGCCAATAATCTTAGGCGGCGATCTTCACGGTCTGTTGTTCTACGGCGGCGTCCAGTGCCCCTTGCTCTTTGCGTACGGCCTTCTCGAAGCCATGCCTGACAACACCTTACCACAGTGTCTACACTTCTTTGCACTCTAACTGCAATTGCCCGAAAAGAAAGTCCAGCTTCCCGAAGTCCCACTATACGGCCCCTATCAAACTCACTAAGTTGACGAAATCGTACAGGTCTCCGTACTCTAGGCATCGTAACCGATCGTAAAGGATGTCAAGAACCAAAATCCGCCAACGTTGATTCTTTACTGCGGCTGAAATATTCATTTTTAGAGCGTTCGTGAATTAAAAAAAAAAACAGTATAAAAACCGGAATGTCCAACTGATAAGGCTGAAATTTTTTTCACTTGTTATTTACAGTAAGATAAATACATTCAGCAACTTTTATTAAAATAAAACCATTTAAACTGGGTATTCGGATTTATATGTCACTTAGTATATATTAATTACTTCAGGTTTGTACTATGTAAACTTCTGTTCTCCCACCAATAATTGGTTTATCTGTTGGTGGTGTAAATAAATAAATAAATGAATGAATGAATGAATGAATGAATAAATGAATTAATGAATCAATAAATAAATAAATAAAACAAATAAATAAATAAACAAATAAATAAATAAATAAATAAATAAAATGACAGAAAGACCCCTACGTCTTCGGGTTTATAAGTGCCGTCGTCTACTATGTACAGTTAGATGTCGCACCACCATCATTGAAATGGTCGACCCGTCAAGTAACTAGAATACAAAGTATTCACAAAATAACTAGAATTTTATCAATCAAACACAGGATGAACTGAATATGTTTGCTTTGCGTATCTGTAACCATGACCAACCGCAGGCAGCGCTGTTTTGTGCTCTTTAACACTAATCAGCGCAGTATAGGTCTAGTCGTGGAGACAAACGCAAAGCAAACAAGCGGGTAGCATTTTTTGAAAAACTCAAAATGTTGTACACAAACAAGTGAGAAATCTGACAACAGCTACCTACAAACTATAAGTAAATATACTTCTTAATAAAAATGTGAATTTGAATTATATCTAGAACTGTCGCTATGCTCTTACTTGATTAATTTGTGTTTTTTATGTTTTTTGTGACGTTAGTCAAAGAAGAATCAAATATACGAGGTGTGTTCAAAAAGTATCGCAAATCTTGAATTTTTGCGGGCTGCGTATGTTCGATTTTCGATCTTTTTATGACGTTATGTTGGTATTCATGACCCTCCCTAACGTTGACAATATCGGCAATTTTGTATGTTCAGTCAGTTTTTGACAGCTATTGTGGGCGGACGTGTTTTAGCTTGTCTCCGATTTTTGTCTATTCCAAAAAATGGATCAAAGAATTTGTATTAAATTTTGTGTAAAAAACAACTTGAAGTGCGCAGACATATTCCATATGTTGACTGTTGCATACGGCGAAGCTACTTTGGATAAAAGCAACGTTTATCGGTGGTACAAGATGTTCTCAGAGGGCCGAGAAGATTTGAGCGACGAAAAGCGTTCCGGACGCCCGGGTACGTCAACAACAGACGAAAACATTGATGAGTTCTTGCCGCAGACTAGAACGGTCAATAAGGGATATTACCTTCAAGTAATGCGCAATTTGCGAGAAGCAATCCGCTAGAAACACCCGGATTTGTGGAAGAACAAAAATTAGCTTTTGCACCATGATAACGCCCCTACTCATGCATCGTTACTTGTGCGCGAATTTTTGGCCAAAAACAACAATACAATAATGCCTCACCCACCACATTCCCCAGACCTGGCCCTCTGAGACTTTTTCTTGTTCCCGAAACTGAAGAGGCCCATGAAAGGACGACGTTACGCCACGATTGAGGAGATAAAGACGGCATCGAAATGATGAAACGTTATCACAAGTGTATAATGTCTGATGGGGATTACTTTAAACGCGACAAAATAGATATTCATGAGTAAATAAATAATTCTTGAAAAAACCTGAAATTCGCGATACTTTTTGAACAAACCTCGTATGTACGTGGTTTCATTTAGCGGGCAGACAATCATGAAGTCCTATCTCACATATCATCATTTCCTAGGTACCTTACAAAAAGCAAGAAAGAATATCTTGGACACCTCAGCAAGATCTGGAAGACGACTCCAGTATAGAAGAATGTCTAAATAGTAAAGTTCTCGATCAAAGACCAAAAGCAGGTCCACACTTATTCAGCTTGTCCTTGCCGAGGGACAACCATTTGGCCAGTTACATGATAGAAAAGACACATCAAACGAATTATAGTGGATTAGAGAGATTCAAGAAGTCCTTGACAGGTGTTTTGAACCATATCACACCCAAAAAGGATGTTCTGCAAGTACGTATCATTGGGTTGTTTTGACAGAATTTTTATGTGAAACTGAATCAATCACTTTTAAAGCCTCACACCATTTGATTTTTTAGGAATCAATAAAGATGTGATATAGTAGTTTCAAAGGGCTTTTTTCGGCTTATCATTCGAGTTTGGAAATATTGAAGTCAAATGACCTTCACAGTTTATCAATAATAGCAATGGGAAAAAAACCAAAAACTGTTCTTGAATTTTGTTTTTTTAGCGGGGGATAGGTTTAGTGGTATATAATTTAAGTAAAAAATCATATTAATCATTGCATGCAAAATCCACTTATGTTATTGTTTATACAATGAAAGTCGATATTATTTGAGCAGGAAGGAACGTATTGACTTGGTTCATACCCAAATGACCTCCCCACTCTGCGCAAGGCCTAGACAAGACCTAGCCTCAAGTACTGCTCACATGATTGGGGTGCTGCCGCTCCGACTTCAGTATACATGCTTGATGCTGCTCATGGTAGGGCTGTCCGACTGATCAATGACTCTTCTCTAACGGACTACCTCGGGACCCTTCCGCACCGGCGGGCCTTCGGCGATTTAGGTTTCTCCTATGCCAACGGGCTTTGCTCCTCAGAGCTCTCTACCATGTTGCCGTCGCGCGATGTGCCGCCTGACTTCGGCCTCCTATCCTAACCGTGTCGAATTTCGTACATCCAGAACTGGCCGTTACGACCGCTCCTTTGTCCGTAGGGTGTCGAGACTGTGAAACATTCTACATGAGTTCTACTAACCTTAGGCCGTTCAAAAATTGGATTAACAAAGCTTCTTTAAGCTTCTCATAGCAGCCGCGGTGCCCTGGCATTTAGGCTTCTGTCTGCGCGGCTGCTTCGATGTAAAAAAAGGTAGTGAATCTGCCTTTCAATTTTTTCTGTCACTCAGTGACTGTAGAGCTCAATGTTGTATTTCATTTGAAGCAATGTATACTGAGTGACATAAAAAAGGTATACACCTATGTATGTTTGTTAGGATATAAGAATTTTTTACATATCGATTCATCTTGCTATGAACAACAAGTGATAAAATGGTCAGGTTTTTCTGATAAGTTTTTGAGGTGGCTGCGTGTATTGTTTGGTGATAAAGAGTTTTCGTACATTTACGGTGTCAGTGAAATGTTAAATTTCGTGTAGCTTATGGAGAAGCCTTTTTGTGAGTGCTCAAAATGCCTAGAATAGAACATACGTAGGTGTTTACCTTTTTTGTCACTCAGTAAACATGTTAATTCTCCTTACAGGCCAGTCTAACAGATGAAGATAGCGTAAACTGGTTTCTAAGCAAGTCTACAGCAAACTCTTTGAGTAACGGATTTCACTCTTTGGAAATGAAGAGGTCTGATGATTACGGTAAATCCTCGAGAATCATGTATTTGCCAGAGATCAACAACAATATCTACAATGTTTCAAAACAACACCACAAACCTCCAGTCCACTCAAAATCAGTTGAAAACATCCATGTAGAGACCAGAGAGTCTTTACAAGATCCGATCGTAGAGAATGTTTGGAAAGAAAAAAAAAAGTCGAAAAAGTTCACTTTTCAAAGTACAATTAGACAATTAGAAAAACGGAATCTGTCGGAGAAACTAGCTAAGGAAGCTGAAAAAAGGGAACAAAAAAGACTGATGGAGTTAGAAGCAATGAGAAAGGTGGAAGAAGAGTTCCAAAGGAAGCGAGACAGAGAAAAAGCTAACATAAAGCAACAATTAAGGTCGTATCGGACGGATGAAGACACTGCGTGGTCCAGCCTGCCATCCAATTTAGAAATGCAAAACAAGGTAATTTAGTTGATATAAGATCGCAACTTTTTCATTATGGTCGCTCAGGATTTTGGGAAACATACAGAGAGATCCAAATATCACTGACAAGGTAATGTGTAGGAGAGAGAAGCACGACAAGCATGCAATACGCAGCTGCGTCCGTGGGCTCGTCACTCGAGTTGCTAGGCAACGTGGTGCTTCAATCTCTTTCCATCATATGTATTGCACACTTCTCTCTCGTACACATTACGACGTCAGCGGTATATGAATTTTTGTATATGAGTTTTTAGTGTATAATCCCTCGACAGCTCCGTTATTATAAAATAATAAATAAATACAATACTGAATAATTATACGTTTCTTACTTGGAGAATATGTTGCTTTCTACAGGGTGATCCAAAACTACACTACAATGTAGTCAGCCACCTTCATTGATCTCCTAGATCTGGAAACCTTTCGCCCATTCAATATGCGTAAAAACTTTGACACCTTTTAGGAACCAAGTATAGCTATACCTCAAGAAAAAATAAATCACCTTATCAGAAGCATGCTCTGACGACTGAACATTATTATGTATGCATACGGTACGGAGGTGGTCCAACACATTACTAGAGGAATTTAGCGACACACCTTTAACTTCAAAATTTAATCACTAATTTCTCTTATGTTTAACTATACGAGGTTTGTTCAAAAAGTATCACAAATTTTGAATTTTCGCGGGCTACGTATGTTCGATTTTCGATCTTTTTGTGGCGTTATGTTGATAATATCGGCCATTTTGAATGTTCAGTCAGTTTTTGACAGCTATTGTGCGTGGACGTGTTTTAGCTTGTCTCCGATTTTTGTCTATTCCAAAAAATGGATCAAAGAATTTGTATTAAATTTTGTGTAAAAAAACAACTTGAAATGCGCGGACATATTCTAAATGTTGATTGTTGCATACGGCGAAGCTACTTTAGACAAAAGCAACGTTTATCGGTGGTACAAAATGTTCTCAGAGGGCCTAGAAGATGTGAGCGACGAACAGCGTTCCGGAGGCCTGAGCACGTCAACAACAGACGAAAACATTGATGAGTTCTTGCCGCAGGTTAGGACGGTCAATAAGGAATATTACCTTCAAGTAATACGTAATTTGCGAGAAGCAATCCGCCAGAAACGCCCGGATTTGTGGAAGAACAAAAATTGGCTTTTGCACCATGATAACGCCCCTGCTCATGCATCGTTACTTGTGCGCGAATTTTTGGACAAAACCAGACCTGACCCCATGCGACTTTTTCTTGTTCTCGAAACTGAAGGGGCTCATGAAAAGACGACGCTACGCCACGATTGAGGGGATACGCAAACTTATGCAGATGATACTCAGTTAGTGTTTGGTTTCGATCCATCAAAGGTTGATGAAGTTTCTTTTAAAGTTAATTTAGATTTGGCTAACATCGGTGATTAGTGTAACAAACACTGCTTGAAGATCAATCCTAATAAAAGTACTGCAATGTTGTACTGTTCGAAGAACTCCTACCGTGAAATGAAGCAGAGGATTTGTGTTTTTTTGGATGAGACACTCATCCCTTTTGTGGATTACGCCAAGAATCTCGGTGTTACCCTTGACTTAAATATGAGATTCGATCGACATGTCTCTTTCTTATCTAGAGTAACGTATTTGCGTTTGAAACTCCTCTATTCTAATCGATCTTGAATTTTAAAACCCGAAAAAAGCTTGCTGAAAGTCTCGTGTTGTCTGTCATTTCTTACTCTCTTGTTCTGTATTACCCATGTTCAGACTACGTCCACAAAAGGAAACTCCAGAAAATTCAGAACAGCTGTTGTAGGTTTATTTTTAGATTGCGCAAGTTTAGTCGCGTCTCAGATAAAATCAAAGAACTCAACTGGTTGCGAATTGATAAGTTATTTTTATATCTTTTGACCGTCTTCACGCATAAAGTTCTATTATCTAACAGACCACCTTACCTCGCTAGCAAATTAGTTCACCGAGGTAGTTTTGTTACCAGAGCTCTTAGATTTAATGCTAATTCTAACATGCCTCCTCACAATACCTCGGTCTTTGAAAGAAGTTACACCTATAATGCTGTCAAGCATTACAATGCAGTCAACAGTGGCTATCGATCCAAACTGTTTCTTTTAAGAAATTAATGAAAAGTCAGCTGCTGGAGTCCATTTAGTTCAGTTTTTCTTGTGCTCATGTGATTTTTTTTTTGTTTGACTATTTTCTACTATTTTTGTTTCAAATTTAAAACTCTCGCAATGCTATCTGCATTTGTTTCGTGCAATCAATGTTGTCATTCTTATGAATTGTATTTTTTTTTTTGGTATGTTATTATTTTGTTTATGTGTGTAAGTATTCTTTTTCCTGTTGTGGGGTTGAGTGTAAGAGTAGCCGTCTGGCTAAACTTCGCCTCACTGCAGTTAATAAAGGCATTATTATTATTATAAAGACGGCATCGAAGTGGGATCTGAACAAGATCACAAACAATGATTTTTCAAAATGCTTCGAGGATTGGAAAAAATGTTACCACAAGTGTATAATGTCTGATGGGGATTACTTTGAAAGGGACAAAATAGATATTCATGAATAAATAAAAAATTCTTGAAAAACATGAAATTCTCGATACTTTTTGAACAAACCTCGTATATACAACTCGAATCAAATCATTTTTCACTAAGTGTTATATTTTATTTATCTCCCTTTGTAGTATTTTCAATGGCGATATTGTTGGATGCCACTGAAGAAAACGCTTCCAATGATCACCATATCACCATATCGGGGCACTTCCTTGACAGGAAGCATTACTTGTTATGATCTATACGAATCTCTAATTAATTCTTCCATTCTTCCTTGCATCGACATTTAGATCCTCTAAGGTATATTTCTTCTGATATCGTTAAAATATGTATAGTCTGTGAAAACGAAAAGTTCGACAATTTTGGCCTAAAAACAAGGTTAAAATCGGTCAAAAATAAACGAATCTCTTGTTGAATAAAAACTTTTATGATTCCTGGCGACCTCAAAAATCATAGCGTTCAACCGAGTTTTTAAGCATTGAATATACTGCACAGTAACCCAGATCAAACGTGTTTAAACAATTTTTTTTAGCGGGCGCATTTTTTCCATGTTTTTTGGATTATTTTGAACAAAAAAGGCCTGCAGTACATTTCCTCTAAAATGAGCATTTTCGATTTATAAGCATGTTAATGTCTGAAAAACCCTAAAAATTGGTATATTCAATACTCAAAAGCTCGGTTAGAAATTACAATTTTTAGGTTATTTTAAAGCAATTTTTAACCTTGTATGTTATACCAAAATTGTCGAATTTTTTATTTTCATCAAACATGTACAACAGCTGAAACTGAAATCGCGATGACCAGCTTGCCAAACGAACGTCAAATAGACAAAATGAACAGATTGCATTCCAATGATGATGCCTCAATTAATACCTCCCTTGTCAGTTACGTCACTGGTCGATTGATATTCCAACAAAAAAACATGGGTGGGAACACCGTACTACGCCCATGTACTTATTGATCGTAAATACAATTGTTAGGATTTCTGATAGATGGCGCAGAAGTGCTTGGTAGACTGGGTAATTTCATATGTTGGGAAATAAACCTACCTCAAAGTGGAAGCTATTATCCTCCTACTGACCTACACAAACACGAAGTGGCATTTCTTAGGAATTCAGGAAATATTTTTCATACCTTCGATGCAAATTTCTGTTGATTTACGGAGCTATAGCGCATTGATTGATTATGCTCAAAAAAGTCAAGAACACTAGCTTAGTAAGCATTATTGCCTCAAAATGGCATGTGGATTGGATAAATGTCAAAATTAGGATTTTTGAAAAACTAAGGGACATTAATGATACCTACAACTGTATGAATGTACGAGGTTTGTTCAATAAAATCAAATATAATCAGCTTGCAGTCATTCAATCTTTGTGTGCTGAAGGTTTGCAACCATTAGAAATGCATACGCGAATGCAAGCAGTGTATGGAAACGCATGTTTTTCGTATCCAACTGTCAAGGAGTGGTGTCGAAAATTTAAGAGTGGAAGAAACAAGACGAATGATAAGCCGTGACCATATGCATTGAGTACTCCATCAACAGACAGGAATGTGGCATGTGTGGAAGGCATGCTTAGAGAAAGTCGTCGAATTTCCATCAGAGCAATGTCAGAAAATGTTGGTGTGAGTAGGATCTATCCATAGTACAGCAAAGTTTGTGCAATGGGTTCCTCGCCTTTTGTCGGAAAAAAGCTTGCAATTGGGCTTATCACCAAATACAAAGAATTCTTCAAGTAGCAGCCATAAGAATTCTTTAAGCAGGGTATACAATGGGATATGTGCCTTTATTGTAGTTGTAATTATTTGTAGATATATTTGCCAATAATTTTTTTCTGGACCAAAGATAGGTTTCAATTGAACAAGCTTCGTACTATAATAGTGATTAGGAATCTAAAAGACGTAATAAAATTCGGACACCTCCCTTCCTCTCAAAAACCCCGAAAATCATCAGGAACTATATAGAAATAAAAAAGAGAGGACATTTCATTTTGAAACTAACACGATTTAGATATAAATAATGCCAATAATCTGGCGGAAACGTAAACTATGACTGGCTATCATACTATAATTCGATGAAATTGAATAATGTTTTGGAGATAGCTGTGACGAGTAGGTCAAAGTGAAATTAAAAGTTTACCTTTATCAGATAAAAAAACCGCCGGGGATGAAAGATAAGAGTATTGATTAAGCAAGGTCAAATGCTAGGGTACTAAGAGCGAAAACACCGCTCGAAGGCTATCAAAGAAAAACCAATTTCGAACATCTTTGAGGGCGTATGTTTTAAATTAATCGAAACGATTTCCTTTCCCGCTCCGGGATAAAGTCATGCAATAAATAAAACATCTTTCTGAATGTGAACCCACTTTTAGCTATATACTGCTTTTTTAACCATTATCCAGGGTGTTTACAAAATAAGTGACGATTTTCGTGAATGTCATAAGATCCCATAGAAATATCCTTTATGGAGACAGAGGCCACTAAAGGACGTTACTAGGAATGAGTTTCCCTTAAATATATTCATTATATGACTATACGAGTATATAGTTCAATAGAACTTACAGCACAGTATTTATTTGGGTATGATGGTCTCCATGGAAGACAATTAACTCATTTAAACCACCAGAGATAGTCTAACACTAACGCAATATTTAGATTATTTCTACACCACATACAGGGTCCGTCAGAAAGAACGTACGCTTTTGGAATGGGTACTACATCGAGTGGGCTGGTCTCGTGTCGGTGGGGAAGGGCGTGTTGGATAGTGGGAGAGGTGCCGTTTCAGTTGGCAAGATGGTTTGGAACGTGGAGCATCGTGTGTTCACTGTACGTCGGTACTTTCAAAATGGCGAGTCTGTCGTTCGAACGCAACGTGACTTTTTTTTCCGGAACTTCGACGTCGACGTGTCCGTATCAGAACAGTGTGGTTCCACTAGACGGGGCAACATCTCACACAGCTCGCACTTCGATAGAACTTCTTCGGCAAAAATTCCCAGGACGTCTCATTTCACGTCATTCGATATTCCATGGCCCCCTCGCTCCCCGGATCTGTCAACGTGTGATTTTTTTATGGGGCTACCTGAAATCAAAAGTTTACCAAAGCAAGCCTTGGACCCTCGTCGATTTGAAGGAGGGAATAAGAAGAGATACTGGTCGACGCAATGGGCTCATTTCGGAAGAGGCTTGATTCCTGCATGTCGGCTCAAGGGCGCCACATGGGTTTATAGAACGTAAATTTTGTTTTACTCAAAAAATGGCATGTATTTCTGGGTATTTTGATACAATACAATATTTTTCCATACCTATTTTGACAGTATACTCGTTTAAAAAACATGCGTTCTTTCTGATGGACCCTGTATAATAATGGCTCAAAGATTGTATTTTTGAGAAGCCGAGTATTTTAGCTGAAAAAACGTATTCTTGATTATTCCGCTGAAATTGCTTTCCGAAAATCCAAATTTTGATTAAGTAGTCTGAGACTTCATATCCTGGGTTTTTTGGGTCACTAATTACGAACGTATTATCATAATTACAATATTTTCAAAATGGCGAATTCAGTACTAAATCTAATAGAACTGTATTCAATAGCTCCGTATAACGACCAAGTGCACTCAAAATCGCTCAGCTACGCACTGCCAGAATGCATCCGCTCATCTCTAGCAGCAGTTTAACTCACGGCAGTCCGAATGTAAACTGAGCGGCAGTTAGGAGTAACGTAATGGAAGCATTTAGTATGATTACACTAGAAATGTTACGCGATGTTTTAGAAGATCCTACTTATGTATGTTTAGAAAATAAAGGCAACCTATTTAAACACCTATTGTGAATTAAATAAAAATAATGTTAAAGATGTATTAATTCTTCTGAATATCACTAGATCATATCATTATGTAATATGCATCTATCAGTAATCACATAATTTTACGTCAACCGTTTGTTTTCAACGCCTGCTTAAATAAAATAAATAAAAAACACATTTTTCTTTATAACTAAGAAAACAAATGTAACATGTGAAATATGTGGATGTGCTTTTTTGGACTATAAAAAAATTAAGTTGATGATTTCTCAAAGACGAAACGTCACAAAATTTATGAACACCGTGCCTAAATAGTGCAAACGAAAAAGTTCCATTAGTTTTTTGATATTTCTTAAAATAAGGCCAGAAAAAAATAAAAACGGTTTAACCAATTTTTAGTTTTGCCCAAATAGCCATAAAATGTTTACAAATTTTTCAACGGCATGTAAATACGCCTCAAAGAGCGCAGCTTTTTCTTGATTCAACCTAAGCTGTATCTGGTAACTGAGATCAGATGCATAGGATTCTTATCAGATCGCCAAAACATAGCTTTTGTAAAATCGTAACAGGATGCAATAATCTTTGAAGGACTCAAACAATCAGCCCTTCAATTTTTTCCCTTATTTTTACATCCTGTATCAAACAAGCAAGCATTTGCTCAGCTCTCGTATTTTTCCAGGTTAGGGCAGAACCAGATGGAGCGATTTCTTCTAGTCCTTCTCCACAAGCATCTTTTGAAAAATTGCTAGATAACTTTGGAGGGTTTAAAGTTGCGCAGTCAAGGTCACATGTCAATAAAGTTAAAGCTACACAGGAGCTGTCTGAATTCAAACAGACCGAATATTCTTACAAAGAATACAGACTGAAGAAGAGGTATTACAATGAAGGACATTCAATAAGGCAAACGACTGTTCACCCGCAAGTTACTTGTCATATGCCGAAAGCGAAAGGTAGACATGTTTAATGATTCTGTGCCATTCCTTATATTTCCTATTCCCAGTGGCGTAGCAAGGGGAGGGAGGCGGACGCGGAGTGACACCCACCCGGTGACTCAACTTTTTCAGAGTTGAACTTCAGAAAATATCGAAGTCTCTTCAAGACCTAGCTTTATTGTTTGAGATCGTACAAATAAATACTTTGCTTTTGGCGAATACTAAAGAAGTAAAATTAGATACATCCAAATTTACTGATTTTTATGATCAGGTCTCAGAAACCGAATTACTTTTGGAGATTCCAAGATTGCGAAGACACTTAAAAGTCGCGTCTGAGACAGTTTCTGTTTGGGATCTCTAGATTTTTAGAAGTTTATTGTAGAATGGGATTTTACAGAATCTCTTCCAAATCTTATGAGTGGACTAAAATTGTTCATGTGAAAGGAGTTTCAGTAAACTAAAATTAATAAAAAACTATTTGCGGGTAACATTGACCCAATCGCGGCTTAGCAATCTTGGTATATTAGCCATTAGCCAAATGTATATACAAGGTTATTACTGTGGTAAGGATGAAAAGGCTTAGTAGTTTTTGAAAATCGGCAGCGGAGAAATAGCCAAAAACAAAAAAAAATAAAAATCGCTCAAACTTCATTTTGTGACGTTCTAGAGGTTCTTGACCATTTCCGGAAAACATTGTTGTAGAGCTTCAATATTGAGAGTTAGGGGTTGCAAGGGGTGGGGGGAGAGTTATATCTCAATTTTTTGACGGTATATTTATACGCCTCCAGCCTCAGTAATTCTACGCAGCTATTAGACATGTATCACTCATCATAGATGCAGTCGCGTGTCGATATGTGCGCAGCCTTACTGTTGTGGGCTGTATGCTGTAAAAGTCAATACTGTCAGCCACGCGGAATAAGTCGTTTTTCTCAGTGGGAGGCTAGAGTCATTTGATGTTTTGTTATACAGGTTCGTAGTTGTAGTCACCGTTCTTGGCGGTTACGTCATCAACGCCATATGAAATAAGTAAACAGATCGAGTCTCCGTGCCATGGGCGGAGTACTGCGCAGACTAATCTTCACCGCATCTGCTACTCTCTACAGTACGCATGATGTGGGTAACAGGGGACCGCTGTTTTCATTTTCTTCCTGAAAATACTTTAATAAATTTAGCACGAGGTGTCGGCCTTCTCCATTGATCGTGTTTCCGGGCATTTTACAATTTTATATTGAAGATTTATAACAGGACAACACGAATTGCACGCCGATGTGAAGTAAGTTGTTACTCTGACAAATACGATTGAATGTTACTCATACGTAGCGACAAATTGTTCGAGACGGAGAGACACAACTAAACAACGTATGTCTTCGAGCTTACCGAACAAACGTTCATACACAGGGGTAGGTTGCATGTGTATGTATGAGGGAGATGGAGATATATAAAGGGAAACTGGTAGTCTTACTTTGACCCGACAAGAACGCTGAATACAACTATAACTAAGTTTTTTCTCAGAAGAGTCAACTTATGCCGAACATACATAATCCTTTACGAACTGACAACAGTGTTGCGTGGGAAGTACAGAGTCAACTTACTTGACGCCATTTATTCTTCTACAAAGATTAAAATTCACCAATTTCTGCGCCACTGGTGTAGCCTGAATCACGAATTTTTTTTATGGTTCAAAGTATTATTACTACATGTAAAAAAATTAAGAATAAGAAACCAATCTTGAACCCATTTTATATGAACTATTCGTGTGATTTTTGGGCCTATCTCAGAAATACTGTTATTATTCTCTGAATCACCCTGTATAATAATTTTATCAACAGTCATAATGCTGCTATATGGCCTTCTTGTTTTTCATACTTTTTCCTGTCCTTCAGAAACACAGGGGTATTTCTAGATTTCTACTGATTCGTGACAGTGCTCTAGTTTGCACTTATATTATCTTTTTGAATTCCAAACAATTTTAGACTGATAAAACTTGATTTTTATCATCTGTTATATAAACCTGAAACTTCTTAAGATTCAAAAGGAAAAGATAACCTCGCAATACAAGCTTTAGAAATCTGAAGACGAGAAAAGACTATGACAATCAAGGAGGCTATAAAGTCGTCCTACAATTGTAGGAACGACTGACGATACGGTCCTTAGCTACGCCCATTATACAGGGTGATTAGAAAAAAACGCCAGTGTACGTTCCTCAAAATTAGTCATAGAATAAAAAACGTTTCTGTTATAGAGTATGGAAAAATGACGACTGGCAAGAAAGATGTTGCGTGTGGTGTTGACAGTACGATGTCGGTTAGCAGTTCATACTCAGAAGATTCCCATCACTATGGGAAATATGGTCCAATAACAAGGTAAACAAAATCATCCGAATTAAACTCTAATATTTGACCTTTTCATAAAGGAAGTTTGGGATGGTTGTATATTTTCGTGTATTTTCAAATGGAATATTCTGTAATTAATAGTTTTTGAGACATGGTACTCATACGCATAATAATTTAGAATTTATGACAAAAATTTTTTTGTCCAAGACTTAGAAATATAAGTAATTTGAATCCATTTGAGCCCACCTACCAAATATTGTCCATCTTTAGTCACATTTCAATGTTCCAGCCTTTCGTAAAAAAATCCATAGAAATGCAGGTAATCCGATTTTTGTATCTCATTAAACAGGATATTAAGTTTGAGGGGTGATTGCTTTGATGATCCAGAGAAGTTGATATTTAACCGTAGGTTCGACAATGCTTTTTTGACCAAGTGATCAAAAGATCCGGTGATTTTTCCTTTAGGGGAGTTTGGTTTCGTTGGCGTTTTTCTTACCCGATTTCAGATAAATATCCAGCTTTATGTCAGCAAATGCGGAGATTTAACAAATTTCAACAAAATCGGCTGAAAAATTAATGAGATCTATATTCCACAAAACTGTGCTTGAGCGGGTCCAGTTAGTAACCTGAAATTCAAGATGATTTAATTAATGATAATGGGATCATGTGGTACCTTATGTCGAAGCTTTTTATGAATATAAAATCACTACCTTTAAAAATGACCAAAAAAACTTTATAGTAAGTCGTATCAATCTTGTTCTCTTGGGAACATAACAACTAAACAGACTCGCATTCAGAATAAAAAAGTACATAGGGAAACCGTATTGGGATCCCAAGCAGACACCGTTTTTTTTAATTTTGCGGGCCTCTGTATTTTATAAGTAGTCATATGCATTTTTTGAATGGATCAGAATGTTTTCAAAATCCCACAGTTCCCATTTGATGCGTCTATTAATATTAATCATTTTTTTATGTTTCAGGTTTTGAATTCTTTATATTTATATATATGTATGTATATGTATACAAGAATATATAGTATGAAAAGCAGTGCTATTTTATAATTGTTATATATTGTATATTAATCTGTATGTATGTACAATATGTTGTTAAAGATGTGTATTTTGTATTTTTAAATAAATATGTTGTAATGTTTCTTCTTATTTTTATTTCACTCACACCAGTGGTATCACATAAAAAGTCCAAAGAACAATAAAAAAATGTACCATAAAATTTCCTTTACAAAAATGATTCGTAGTTGTACCGGAACGAAAAGCTAGCTAAACTAAATATCTTACGGATAGATGTATTTTTGACCATTATTTTAGGTTCGTATTTTCGCTGGTTTGATTCAATTTTTGACGCGGCTCATTTCTGGATATTAGTTTAACACGCTTCCCGCCGCGCTCATTCTATTAGCCTATTAGCCATATTTCACACATCAAGGGTGTCCCAAACTTAACGCAAACAAATTTTTGGCAACACTAGAAGGCACTAACGTAAAGTCGATTTATAAGTTTGCAAAATTTTCCTTACCTAACCAACAGTTCGAAAAAAAATTTCATAGATTTTTTCTTGGCCCACAGATCTATAAAAAATCACGGGTATGTACGACATAACAATGTAGCATCGGTACTTTTTTCAAATTTCTTGAGCAAAAGCGCCCTTAAAGAATGATTTTCTGAAGGACACGTCTTTGAGGATATGGGCATTTAGGGGCGTCTTATCGATCTGAAAATTTGGCCAAGGTGATTTGACAGAAAATACCCTAGTTTGGATCGATCCAGATTTGGATACCTTTTGGAGCAATTTTCATTCTTCCAGCCCTGGCAATTCTTTCCACCTATTAGACACTAAAATTGACCCTTGCGTTTGCTTTGCCCTTAAAACTTCAGAATTATACAGGGTGTTATTCAAGTACGTGACCACATTTCAGGAGGTGATTCTTTGGGTAATTTTAAGTTGAAAAGTTTATATAAACATATGTCCATTTTCAAGATGTCAAACTTTCTTTTAAAAATCGGTTTTTCCTAAATATCTTGATAAACTTTCAATCGATTTTGTTCAAATTTAGCAGTGGTATTAGCAAGTGGCTAATTTAACCCCAATTAGATTGAAATTATTAAGTTCAGTGGCGTCCCGGAAAACACCCTACAAATACCTTTGTCAAAAAATGTGTGTGCCACTGACTTTTTCAATTTTTAATTTTTTTTTTCGAATTCAGCAGCTAAAAATATAACTGTTTTGTCGCTTGAGTTTCTTTCCTATCTTGCTTCGTTTGCGAGATAAAAATAAAAAGCATTTTATTGCATGTTCCTGGGACAATACCATCTTTTAAGTTTTGCATATAGAAACATAGTAGGCCGTGCGGATGGAACGTCAGTACTGAATCTTAACCTCACTCTTTAGTAAACTTAAATTCAAAGTTTCACAACAATACGTGCAGTGTTCTCACTACAGTGAATTTTTAAGTGTCACCAAGTCATCAGAAAAATGGAACTCAACCGAGAACATTTTCGCGCCATAATTTATTACAACTTTCACTGTCACTGTCTGTTTTCGGCAACGAAGCGCCACATCAGTCGACAATTTCCGGTTGGGACGATCCCGGGGTGGGTGCACCAAAAACGACAGTCACCCAGTAAAACGTCGATGCTGTGCGCAAACTCATCATTGAAGATAGTCATGTGATATATCGCGAGACTGAGGCGTCCTTGAAGATATCAAAGACCTCAATTCAAAAAATTTTACATGAAGAATTAGGAGTAAGAAAATTAGTTTCTCGTTGGATACCCCACCTGTTGACTGATGAGCAGAAAGCAGCCAGGGTTAACTGGTGTCAAAAAACGCTTGACCGTTTCAATTCAAAAAATGTGTACAGCATTGTTAGAGGTGATGAATCGTGGATTTACTGTTATGAACCAGAAAATCAACGACAGTCGGCTGTTTGGGTGTTCCAAGGTGAAAAAAGCCAACAAAAGTCATCCGTTCCCGAAGTGTTTCGAAAAAGATGGTCGCGACATTTGTGTCAAAAGCGGGTCATATTGCTACAATTCGGCTTAATGAGCAAAGAACTGTTACTGCGGATTGGTATACCACCATTTGTTTGCCAAAATTTATCACCGAGCTTCGAAAAATCAACCCCGAAAGAAGAATCATCCTCCACCAAGACAAAGCAAGCTCGCACACAGCCCAAAAAACAAGGCAGTATTTAACGGAAGAAAACGTGGAATTATTGGACCATCCTCTATATAGTCCCGATCTAAGTCCTAACGATTTATTTACTTTCTCGAAAATTAAAAACAGACTGCGTGGTCAAAGGTTCCAGTCACCAGAAGAAGTGGAATAAGTGTTTCGAAAATTTGTTCGAGCGCATGCAGATGTGTATCAATCTTCGTGGAGAATACTTCGAAAAACAATAAAGTCATTTAAAACTACCTACCGTGTTCTTTTATTTCCATATGCAAAACTTAAAAGACATCCCTCGTAAGAACAGTGGAGGTGGGGGAAGCAGTTTTACATGAAGTTGAGCGTAGCCCCGGCACAAGTCCACGAAAAACTGCAGAACAATTAAACATTTCGCACTTTACTGTATGATCGATTCAGGAAACATCAATTATATCCTTACCACATACAGCATGTTCAAGCGTTATTACCTGCCGATTTCCCCAACGAGTCGTTTATTGTATATGGTGTTTGCAACAATAGGTAACGTTTCCAAGATTTCTATCCCGTATATTATTTACCGATGAGGCGTTTTTTTTAAACTTTCACAATAATCATATCTGGCCTAAGAAAATCCCTAGCGGTTATATAAGTCAATTATTATCAACAACAGTTTTCCGTGAAGGTTTGGATTGGTATTACAGATGATTATATCATTGGACCTTATTTTTTACCTCCGAGATTGAATGGTCAAGACTATCGTGATTTTTTTGAATTTATTTTACCTGAACTACTAGAAAATGTCCCGCTGGAAGTAAGAGGAGCAATATGGCTTATGCACGATGGAGCTCCACCTCACTTCAGCATAGTAGCTCGCCAATTTTTGGATGCAACTTGCAACCACCCAGGTCACCGGATTTAATTTTTTTCTTTGGGGGCATTTAAAGTACCACAAAACTGCAGTCAACACTGAAGAAGAATCAACCCAACGGATACGAGGTTCATGTGATCAGATAAGACATACGCCGGGAATATTTCAACGAGTTCGGCAATCAATGCTAAGACGAGCTAATGCTTGCATTGAGGTTGAAGGAGGGCAACAATAAATTAATAAAGTTGTCTAAATATTTTGTTCATTTGTTTTGTCGAAAGCATTCATAATCTGAGCAAAAAAATCAAAAGACGATATTCACCTAACTTCATGTTTAAAAACATGCGATAAAGTGCGTTTTATTTGTATATTGCAAATGAAGTGAGATATGAAACTAAGGAGACAAAAAAAGTGCTTAATTCGAAAAAATGAACTGGACTCCATAATTTCAATCTAATCGGGACTAAATCAGCCCGCTACTGCCCTTAATATCACTGCTAAATTTGAACAAAATCGACTAAAAGTTTAAAAAAAAGTTTGACAAACTGTATCTTGGAAATGAAGTATTTCTAGACGGTTAAATGAACTTTTCATCCGAAAATTACTCAAATAATCACCTCCTGAAGTTTGGCAGCGTACTTAAATAACACCCTGTATAGAGAACTATTTTCAACATATGCATCGAATGCAATGAACGTAGGGAAAGAGATGTGTATGTGTCGGGGGTTGATTGCAGGCGGGTTGTATGTCGTATTTGGCGCCAGATGCTCGGTAGTTTCGGGAGGGCAGGGAAGAAATTCCTTTATTTTTTTTAGTTTTTCGCCCGTAGCTCTGCCGACGCTGGATTGATTTCCAAAAACTACATAGCTTTTCCATAATAGGCTTAATAGTAACCTTATCTTAACATTTCATAGAAAACCTAGCGGTAGTTTTCAAGTTAAAGAAGGACCAATGATTAGCAGACGGACAGACAGATAAATTATCGTGAGGTGCATGCCGTGTAATATAAAAAAGGGTTTTCCAAATTTTGGTGTGCATAATACTGCCTGAAAAATAGAGGACTATCGTGGTTATTTTCGCCATAAAGGAACAGGAGCAGAAATAGAAGAATTGGTAACCCGAGCGACGTACCTTTCTGCTTATTGGCTTACGGGAGTAACCTGAAGGAAAACCAGGATGAACAAGGAAATACAACTGGAAGCCTCCAGCAAGAGGCAGCAGGCATATTTGTCGCTTCGCTCATTGAAGTACCACGGTAGGTAGCTGTAACTGGCCTCCATGGCGACGTTGGTTCATACCCCGTAAACACGAGGTCTTCTGACCGAAGCCACAAACGTGCCTGCTGGCTCTTGTTGGTGGCTGATAGTTGTATTTCCCTTTCCATCCTTGTTTTCCTTCGGGCTACACTCGTATCCAGATGTGATGGACACTTCGGTGTCTTCGATGCACAACCATTTGGACCCGATGAACCCAATACGCAGAAACGTACGTTCCTCGGGTTACCACTACTTCTATTTCTGCTCCTGTTCCTTTATTGCCGACGTGCCCACGTACTTTGTGTTTTATCCAAGTTGCCGCAAGGCTACTTGTCTTTATAATGCTGCGTGGGCAGTAAACACAATTCTCGTTCGCGTGGGAAGTATGAGGAGTACGCTCGTAGTAAGTAGGAGTTCCTTGCACAGCGTATGCGTAGCTATTGAAAGATGAGACAGCCGGTGGAAGATTATAGTTTTCAATATCGATTCGTTGTGGAGGCGCAGCGACGTCGCGTCGCGGCGCTCCACCGGGCGTCGCGTCACGCGGCAACGTCGGAATATGCGCTCTAAGCCCACCTCTACTGCTCTCCTTTACAAAATAGATTCGGCCGTTCTCTCCTGGGTGTGTACTATCATCGGTTCTATCATCACACTACTTGGTCTAACATGTGAGATACACTGAAAAGTTAGCTATATCCTCGCCGGAACACTATGATCACTTCCGGTAGCCGTTTAGATCCGATAGAGCAGTGAGTCGGTGTCGCGGTAAAACATGGTGTGTCGTAGTGCTACAGCTAGGATTTTCCTTGCGATCATCGGCTTTCACGTGCTACAGCTCGCTATCCTTGAACAAGATGAGGATATACCTCACATGGAGTAAGGATACTTCTTTTACGAACCACCATCTTAGATAGCATGTATCTGAAAAATCGCTTCGTGTTTTGGAACGCACAGTTGCATAGCTTCTTCAAGTTCCAGAAATCGAATCACACGTTTTTGACAAGGAATGCGCGGTGGCACACCATATTTTGCACCTTACTATGCTGCAGTTGTGACCTTTCAAAAATACTATGCCTCTTTATCGATGTATGAAAATATTTGCCGTCTACTGTATACAAAAAGACAAAACTTTTAAAGATATACAGGTATAGACAAAGCGTTCTCCTATAATATTCTAAATATCAAACATGTATCTCTAAGCAAACAATAAATTCGCCTTTAATATTTTTCCAACTATCTCATTACAGGAAGGGTATAATGTCTACTCAGATTGTTTTAAAAATTTGCTTTCTAGTTACAAATCCTATACTCATAAATTTAATAATTACCAATTCACAATACACAAACGTTAATTAGAAACTGTTCATTTTAATATTTTTCTTTTGAACACTAAATATAACATTTTTTTCATCAATGTTTGTTATTAGAGCAGCAAACACAATCAAATAACAAGCTGTCGGCCCAACAGATGTATGCTAATATCAATCACATTAATATCCACAAACATATTAGCAGTCATTACTAGATCCCTAACAGGGTATTAACTATATGATAAATTTTCAATTGAATGACGTGTTGTATTCTTATAATCATCACCACAACTATGGTCACCTCCGGTAGCGGTTTAAATCCAACTGAGCAGTGAGCTTGTGCCGAGATAACACATGGTCGTTGTAGCCGCTACTAGGATTTTCCTTTCAATCGTCGGTTTCAGCTCGCTACCCTTGAGCGATATACCTCGCATGGAATAATGTTTTTTTTACATACCACCTTAGATAACATGTATCTGTAAAAGCACAGCAACTTTTTTAAGTTCCAGGAATCGAATCATACGACAGTTTTTGACAAGGCGTGCGTGGTTTAAACCAAATTTTGATACAAGGAGTTGAAAGTAGTAGTTGAAAATAACGCATGAAGCATAAGAACAGCCGCGTTGTCTGTATGGCGACTATGCGGATGCATAATTGCAGTTTCTGTGATCGGTTTGAGGTTATACAGGGTGTTTCTTAATAATATGCGAATATTTAAGTGTGTGAATCTACATGAAAAATTAATGTTAGTTTGCTTGTAAACTATGGTCCAAAAATTTTTCCGTATAAAAACTCGGGGTGTTGAAGTTATAGGGAAAAAAATGGAAATTAATCAATATTTTCAGAACCGCTGCAGATGTTTCACTGATGTTTAGTACCTAGTGAATGTTAATAAAGTTGCATATTTTTCGATGCAAAAATAATTTTTAGCTTTAACAGTGGCGTGCGTACGGGTATTGACTTCGATATTTTTTAAGAAAAAATGGTACAACAATGGTTTTTCGCCTAATAAAAATTATTCTTGAATTTCCCGTTCAATTTAAAACAAATGATCTCTCTTGAACTGTTTTCCTTCGATTCGCCATTTTTGAGTAAAAAACTAAAAACCGTTCTATTGTCTAACTTGCAAAATTATTAATTTAATTGGAAAAATTAAACATATTAAAATCCTCAATTTCAGGTGGTCTCACACTTAGAGGTCTACCTTCAGATATTCCTTTTCGGGCAGAACCAGTTTCAACAAGACGACGATGAATATTAGAAAAGGTTCGACTATCTGGCAAAGCACGATCGGGATATCTCTGGTGATAAATCCATCTGGCTTGCTCACCATTATCGTCGGCAAGGCCATATACGTAATGCATTTCCGCCATTTATGCATTTGAATAATTCACCATTATTAACACGATTGTAAAAAAATAAATATTGAAAAAGATGTCACAGCGAACATATTTGAATAACAGAGACCTGTCAGATGTCAAAAGCCAGTGACATATTCCAGTGCAACTAGATATTTATTGCTAAATTGCATTACATTAATTTTCTCGGACAATAGAACGGTTTTTATTTTTTTACTAAAAAATGGCGCATTGAGAGAAAACAATTCAAGAGAGATAATTTGTTTTAAATATCGAATTCAATACCCGTAAGCACGCCACTGTTAAAGCTAAAAATTATTTTTGCCTCCAACTTTATTAACTTTCACTACGTACTAAATCTGAAGCGGTTCTGAAAATATTCATTAATTTCCATTTTTTCCTAAAACTTCAACACCCCGAGTTTTTGTAAGGAAACATTTTTGGACCATAGTTTATAAAGCAAACTAACATACACTTTTCATGTAGATTCACACCCTTAAATATTCGCATATCATTAAGGAACTGTATACAGTGTTTCCCAGATTCGTTTCTCTATACAGGGATCTCGGCTCCTATTATACCTATAGCAAAGGTTAAATTAGAAAAGTCTTAGAGCAAACTTAGGGCCTTCGAAAGCCGGCTTCAGATTTACGATCGGTCAGTTGGTTTTGGAAATATCGTCGAAAAATTGAAATGTCGAATTTTGTTTTTTGCCAGTAAATAATATCTTCACACGTAATGTTATGCATTATTTTTTTTCTAAGGAGGTCATGGTTTATTTGTCACAAAATAAAATGAATAAATAGAGCTTTTTTTTTTCTTCTAAGGGGGCTCTGACTTTGACGTTAAATAATTCAAAGTATTAAAATTGTGTTTTAATAAGTAGTAGGTTCGTTTTCTCTCATTAAAATCATAAATCTGACAAAAAAAAAATGTCGAAACCTGTTGAAAATGGCCGGTATTCCCTACTCAAATGAAGAAAAGTCTGACATGTTAGCGCTGTACTTGCAGTCACACAGAAATGCCGACATTACCTCAGCAAGGTACTTGGAGATGTACCCCAAACGACGGCAGCCGCATAAAACCCGATTTAGAAAAATAGTACAAATTTAATAAACCATGGGGCCTTCGCCGAAAATGGAAATCGCGACGGAAACACTACCAGCTGTCAACGAAATTGGTAACAGTACAGATAGTGTTGAATAAGAATACAAACCTCCAATAAATAGTTAGGACTTAAGGAAACTAATTTTCCAAGGCAAATGCGCTTCTGTGTGGTATACTAGGAAGTCTAATGAAAATCCCGATATTATAAATCATGTCTTGTGGTCCGATGAGAGTAGGTTAACAAATTGTGGAGTTTTTAGTAAGCACAACACTCATCATTGGATTGTGGAAATACCTCACGAATTGGCAGACAGACGTCCAGAGACCAGATTTGGAACTGAGGTTTGGTGTGGGGTCACTGGTAATTTAATCTAGCTTACCTTTTTTGATTTGGCACCTATTTGAAATTAGGTATTAATCATTCCAGGAAATCGACTTATAGGACCATTTTTGTTTGACTACAATCTGAACGGACAGAGGTACCTAGAGCTTTTGCGAAATCAGGTTGTGCCGGCTTTACGAACTAGTCTAACCGAAGATGAGTTCAGAAGAACCTGGTTTCAACAGGATGGATGGCCGGCTTGCAACACCATTCAAGTCAGGAACTTCTTAAGAGACCAGTTTGATGAAAGAATAATTTGATTAAATGGCTCAATATCTTAGCCTCCTAGATCCCCTGACCTTTCGCCCTTGGATCTCTACCTCTGGGGCTACACAAAGAATGAGGTCTATGAATATTAACGTAAATACACTAGCTAAGGTTGTACGAAAAACAGTCACCAATTGTCAAAAATGTCTTGGTGCAAATGGACGTTATTTTGACAGTACCCACTTTCATAATTAGATTTTATATTACATTACAATTTTGTAAAATGTTTGTTTCTTCAAGTGTAAAATACATTTAGGACGATCTTTCTGGCTTTTTTTAATACACTCATAGTTGGGAATGCGCCCAAAACATTTGATTTGTGTAGAAGACGATATTAACGTTAATATTCATTAATGTTGTTTTCTGATAAATAAATCATGGCCTCCTTAGAAAAAAATAACACATAACATTACATGTGATATTTCGGTGATACTCCAATCTTTTATCCACTTGTGAGACATCATTAGACTGGAAATTTTACACTCTTTTCAAAAATCAAAAAATCCAATATGACGGACATAAGAAAAATGAAAGTTGAGGCGGGTTACTAGAAAACAAAAGACGATACATGCCATCTTATTTTTCTTAAAAAATGTCCTTTTGACAGTTGTCAAATTAACCATTTTGGATTTACTGGCAAAAAACAAATACCGCCATTTTCTGTTTTTCGCTGATATTTTTAAAAGCAATTGACCGATCGTAAATCTGAAGCCGGCTATCGAAAGCACTAAGTTTCCTCTAAAACTTTCTCCTTACCTTTGCTGTAAGTATAACAGGGGCCAAGATCACTGTATAGAGAAGCGAATCTGGTACACACTGTATTTTCAAACTTAAAGCTGAAAATATTTTACTTTTAACTATTAGGTAATTAGAAATACAGATTAATTTTAAATCTTTCATATGGAGAATAGAAGTCTCGTTTCATTTTGTCATATTTCTTCATGCTCTTTAGTTTGGTGATTATTTTCCATTTTTTGGTCACTATCTTCAGCGCATTTGCACATAACATATTTTCAAATCTGTAAGAACACAGTATATTCCAGGCTTTGTCAAAATTGGTTTAGCTGTTGTTGAGAAGTAAGATGAACCGCTAACAAAAGGCTGTTCAAGTCGCAATCTATTTCAGAAAATGATATCGTCTATTGTCTAAGCAATAAATACAATTGTCATTAAACTAATTTTTTAACAGCTGATTAATTGAAATGTTAGTTTTTGTGAGCCAACGCACTATTGCCCTATATTATAGTAAGCAATAAAAGGTGGTTCCCCCTCGGCTGAAGCGATCACTCTACAGAGATCTAGCCCCTACAAAAATCGCTTCATTTTTGGAAAATGTCAGCAAACGCTTGAGAAGTCTCGATGTTTTTTTGCCGTTAAGTGAAGCTACATACATTTATGCGGGAGCAACTTTTTGCAGACGGTTCGACCACTTCGGTGGCCTTTTTCGGAATACAAGTATATCTCTGGTTTGTACCTTGAAAAAGTTCACAGTTGTTAAGAACTTAATTCCATATATGTGGTTTCATTTAACTATCAGAAAACAGATATTCAAACGTTTGTTCTCCAGTGACACCCTTTGTTATGAGTATAGTATGCACTTAATATGACGCTATAGTCTAATCATATTAGACGACAATACTCCTGGTTTGCGGAATGATTGTAAAGTCTGGTTTTATTGCTGCAAGTTGTTCAAGGGGGTATTTAAAACATGGACGCATAAAATGAGTATACCAATTTTAGTGGGAAAACTTTTTATTCGACAATAAAGAGTGAGAAAACGTGTTTTATTGGATTCAATTGGAAGTGTTGACAGGGACGAAATAAGATTTTTAGGTATTTATGAGACCTACAAAATGAGACGACACGCAAAACAAATAGCAAAAAAGTTATGGCCGAGAACCGAGGCAAACTGCAGGTTTTGGCATTTGTTGGTAATGCGACCACTACTAGTTTATTGAACAATATACAGAGTTAGTTCAAATGGTATTTTATAGCAAAATACACTAGTTTACTTTGCCAATATGAATCGCAAACCATTCCGGAAGATAAATGTTATTTTTATACAAAAAAGGATGGGTTACGTTTTTTCTTCTAAACAAATTCGAACATTCCGTATTTGTGAGTAATTCGTAACAAAAGAAGACAAATACATCCGCTTTGTTTTAAAATGTGTATAGTAACGTACGTTTTTCAATATAGTGGCCCATTTGTTCAATTACTCACGAATACGAAATGTTTGAATTTGTTTAGAGGAAAAAACGTAACCCTTCGTTTTTCGCATAAAAATAACATTTATCTTTCGGAATGGTTTGTGATTCATGTCGGCAAGGTAAATTCGCGAATTTTGCTTTTAAATGCTCTTTGAACGAACTATGTATATGGCTCAATAAACTAGTAGTGGTGGCCGGAAAACAGGTGTTTTGGGATAAACAATTACGAATTCTCAAAAACTAATCGACCAATATACTCCAATTTTGTTATTGCTATTTAGCAGTATGAATCCTGCGGATTTGAAGAATTAGCGTGCAGTTATCGTCGCATTACCAATAACTTCCAAAACCTGCATTTTGCCTCGTTTTACGGCCGTAACATTTTTGATATTAGTCGGATCTTTTTACGTGTAATCTCATTTTGTAGGTCTAAAAATCTTATTTCAAAAGTTTTTTCGTTTCTGCCAACACTTTCAATTGAATCCCACAAAACCCGTTTTCTCATTCTTTGTTGTCGAATAAAAAGTTTCCCCACAAAAATTGGTGTACCCATTTTATGCGTCCACGTTTTGAATACCCCCGTGAACAACTTGCAGCAATAAAACCAGACTTTACAATTATTTCAAGAAAATTTACTAATATGATTAGACTACTAAGCGTCGTGCCTTATACGATATGATCAGGTATAGTGGGCAAAGATTTTTAAAATAAAGAACAGGCTATGAGGTTACATTAACCCAGCAACAGCGATTTGACAACACCATCCCCTCTACATCCGTTCATCACCATGTCAACGATGATCATGATGAATGAAAGCATCCACTAAAGCTTGTATTAAAATCCATTTGTTCTTATTTATGTTGCAGGGTGAAAAATTGGGCGTTAAAATTTGGTGTCGACTTATGGGAATACGGCAAAATGATGACAAAAATGAATGAGTTACAAAGGGTAAGTGCAAACAAAAAACGTTCAGCGACGTTATCATTAATATTTTCGGAATAATATTTTCTATATGTATGTACAATATTCTTTACATATGGCATTGATTTAGACTGACACATGAAAGTCCAATGAAAAGAATGATCTGAAAATATATGCATTATGTTGAGGTGGTTCATCTAATTTCTACCGGGTGACTCAATAAACAATAGCAAATGCACGTCCAATGAATAACACGATAAGCTTCTATAAACAAGGGTCATACAATTTTCCTTTACTGAAATACAGGGTGTTGAAGTTGTACTTTCTGTAATTGGAGACATGCTAATTATTTATTGTAAATTATATAATGCCTATTACGAAAGAAACAATATACATCAAGGGTAATTTCAGATCTGGACAGTTGGTAATGCAAAATAATGTTTACTTTTGCTCAGCATGCAAGTGCAAAAAATGACTGCCAAGCTTTCAGTGGACAACTTAATATACAGAGTGGCCATCCATGTGTGGACGGAATATTACTCATAAACAAATACATTTTGAGAAAATCTATTAATGGGATGTTATACATGACAATTTGAGAGCACATTTCTGAAATATTGGCCATTATACTGGGTGTCCCAATTTCGGCCTACATATCAAAGTTGAGACTTTTCAACTCGAATGCCTCAAATTTTATTGCATCATGTTACTTTTTGATGAACTCTAAGCCTTAGCAATAATGTCCGTCTATCAATCATCAATTTTGAATCGTCTAGTAGTATTTTATCAGGGGAGTGATTGCTGCATTTTAGCGCATCACAACAAATTCAATGCAATGGTACTGACTCATTTGTTGAGGTAGTAGCCAAAAATCTAAATAGAAAAAAATCGATTTATTTCAGAAATATCATGACGCTGACATGGATGTCGTGAGAAAAGACGGCCTAATTCTCATAAGAGAAATGGCTACCGAAGTGAAAAATATGATGGACTTCAAAATTAGTGCCGTCAAGGTAAGCACCGAGAACATCCTTATGCACATATCTGGAGGGTTTTCCATTAAGGACTTGACAACTTTTTTTTAAATAAAACGCAAGCCATTTGACATGTCTCGAAAATTTTATTATTGGATTGAAAAATACTCAAAACATTTATGTATGGAATTCGACCTCGTTCATATGCCACCACGGGTACGCTCGCAGTGATGGATTCGTTGAACCCAATTTTCGATGACTCGGCCACACATTTCGACATAAAGGGCCGCTATCTCACGTTCAATATGGCTTTAAGCTCCTCTAACAGCGCCGGCTTGTTGGCATAGACCAATGATTTAATGTAGCCCCACAAAAAAAGTCTAGAGGTGTTAAATCACACGATCTAGGCGGCCATTCGACAGGACCATTTCTCGATATAAGTTTGATTTCAATATGTGGGTTGCTTCACGCGCTGTGTGGCTTGTGGCACCGCCTTGTTGAAGACACTTATTATTAATGTCTAGCCTATCCAATCGACTTAAAAAAAAATGTTTCAACATGTCTCTGTAGCGATCTCCGTTGATTGTAACGTGTAAGTTGTGTTTCTTGAAGCACATGAGAATTTTCACCTGACGAATAGCAATATTCTCGGCACTTCGACCAACCCGTTGTCTCACTGGCACAGGAACATCCAGCAGCGAATATGTGGACTCAAATTTTTTTACCAGACTATGAATTGCTTGTCTACTGGGACGAGAATTATGACCAAAAATTGGAGCTAACGCTCTTAAAGTTGCAGTCATCGACTCGGAATTTCGGTAGTAAATTTTAATTATTTGTAAGCGTTGTTGGTTCGTGTACTTCACCATGATGAAAATGGTTTCTTTACTGAACGTTTTGACATTGACAGTTCGGTAATTGATTTAAAGGTGCGTTCACAGTGAAAGCTCAAAGTTGTCAAGTCCCTTTTGGAAAACCCGATATTTGTACAATGGTTCATATTTAAAATAAAAATTAGTGTGAGCCCTACTTCATAAAAAAAACAACAAAAATACTTTTTCAGAGAATAATGGATTCCGCAGAACAGGCAGCATTGACTCCAAGGGGTGACAATGGTCAACCTTTCCGGTACTATAACGCTGAAAGACTGAATGCATTTGGGCCTGATGGTAAACCAGCGGATGGTACTAGGGAACTAGTACTAACTCCTAATCCGCATTTTGATCATTTGCCTGTCAATACTAGCGTTAGTACCATTCTCTTGCCTGCCAACGTTGATGAAAATGGTAAGCTGATGGTACAGTCTATGTAGAACACTCTTGCTTCTGGGTCGAAGTTAATGTAGTGGTTTTATTTTTTTGTTAAGAAACAGGATCCTCCTGATATTTTGAGCACTGTTTAGGTAGGTACGATATTGACCGAAATAACTAGATTGAAACGCATAAAACGGGTTTCGGAAAAGGCAAAGTCTTCAACACCCGTCTTATCAGTACAGGTGATATCTGAACCATTACAGAATAAGAATTTGAACTTCATCGGGTGAAGCTACCACAATAACCATAACGTGATCTCGCTGCCGCCGCCCCATAGCTAATCCACCCAACGTATTTGAACAAGTTATGTATGATATGTATAGTGTAGGTACTTAGCAATGGACACTTGAGAAATTGCAAGATTATAAATCTCATTGCTTTTTCTAGACATCGCGAAATATACTGTGACAAAAAAGGTAAACACCTACGTATGTTCATCCGATTTTAATAATTTATGGCATATATGTTCAGTGTCCCTTACTAGTAAAATGATTGTCTGTGGTGGGTATTGCAAATTCAAGAGCCTGAGACCTATCATGTCCCAGACATGTTTAATTGGAGAAGGGTCAGGCGATCGTGGTGGCCAAGGTAAACGATTGATGCGATGTTGATCCATGAAGGCTAACGATGCTCTGGCAACATGAGGTCTGGCATTGTCTTGCTGAAAAATCTGGTTTTGGATTGTGTTTAGGTATGGAATAGGATGAGGCTCCACTACTTACTGAATATATCGTAGGGCTGTCATATTGCCTCTGATGAAAATTAGTGGTGATCTGCTACCATAGGCAGTGCACCCCATACCATACATCCCACGGTGTGGTGAACGTGACGCTCTCTGTTAAATTGTGGGTCGCGTGTTTCATCACGTCGCCTACTCACTCTTTCCCGACCATCGTGCATCCCCAGACAGAAGCGGGATTCGTCACTAAAGACCACCTGATTCCATTTCCGGTCCCATAGAAGTCTTTCGCTACACCAGAGCAAACGGTTACGCTGATGTTCATCTGTGAGGGGGACCACCTAATGTGGGCGATAAGAAAAAAGGCAAAACTGTCGTATTCTTCTATATACCGTACGCATACCAACCATCCTTCCATAATCTTCAAACCACTGATTAGCGATGGCTCGAGTACCACTGAATCTGTCTTTCAGAGCCAGAAGTCTTAACCGGCGGTCTTGTCGCTCTGTGGTCCCTCTGGGACATCCAGAAGCTACACGAAATTTAACATTTAACTGACACCGTAAATGTACGAAAAGTAAATGCTTCTTTATCACCAAACAATACACGCAGGAACCAAAAAAACTCAACAGAAAAACCTGACCATTTTGTACTTGTTCATGGCAAGATAAATCGATATGTAAAAAATTCTTGAATTCTAATAAACATACGTCGGTGTTTACCTTTTTTGTCACTAAGCGTGGTATCAATTTTTTTCGAAATAAAAGCTTCGTGGTCCCCAGTTTATATTTAAATACTACATAAATGGAAAAAGGGCTATCGTTTGGGAAGAGTATAAATATTATATGTTTGATGTCATTTAGACCTGAGAATGAAACGGAGATACGACTTTACCGCCCCAAATGACAGAAAATGGAGCTACATTTTATAATAATAATAATAAATGTCTTTATTAATACACATACATCAGTGTGGCGAAGTTTAGCCAAATGGCTACTCTTAGACTTAACCTCACTGTGTGCGAAAGAGTAACAGAGTTAAACTCGATACACAAACAAACAATAGTAATAATAAGAAGAAAAACAAATGTAAGTAAATGAATTGAATAGATAACATGTTGATAACACGCACACACGAGCGAACAGAGTGATATGTAACAGAAAAAGAAAAAAAATTAACAAATGCACACTTGAACTATTAATATCCCATCAGCTGTTTCTTAACGATTCTCCTGAAAGGTACTACTATTTTACTGCGACACATTTTATCTGTAGAGTTGTATAACTTGACAGCATGAAATATGAAGCTTGTCTGGAAAAGGATTGTGTAGTGGACTGGCTTCGCAAAATTTAGGTTATGTCTGAGATTTCTCTGATTAATGTCACCTCTTGGTACTAGCTTTTCTAAAATGTACGGTGGCTTTTTTGTGCGAACTACTTTATGGACAAACACCTTCATAGCATAAACAAACTGTGATTCCATCTTTAACCAATTTAAATCTTTAATCTTCGAAGAGACATGACTATATTTACGAAGTCCAAACAAACCTGCAGCAGCTGTTTTGAATTTTTTGTAACCTATACCGATCCGACGAATCCAAATAAGAATAGAATAAAATCAGAGAATGTTGCAAAGATGACAGATAATTTTTTTCTAGTCTTAAAGTTTAAAATGAACCGATTGGAGTATAAAAGTTTTAATTTGGCATACGGTTTTTGAGACAGGTACCCCATGTGTCTATCAAACTTCAAGCTAGAGTCCAAGATAACACCCAGGTTTTTAGAATGTTCTACCATGGGGATGCGCTCGTTATCTATAATGAGTACAACTGCGCCCTTTATGTTATTATACGTGTTTCGGAGAAAAAAGCATACTTGAACTCCCTTAAGGATTGATCCTGAGACAGTGCTTTTTACAAAAATCCGTAATATTGATTAGGTCATTATTAATTTTAAGCGACACTTCATTTAACTGAGCATATTTAAAGTAAAATGATAATTGTGTGTCATCGCATACGTTTGTATAGAACAAAATTCCACACATGAGTCTAAGTCTATAGTGTAAATTAAAAATAGCAGAGGTCCCAGAACTGACCCCTGCGGAACGCCAGACGAAACCACAGTACAGTAGAAGAGACGCCCCTAACCGTCTTAACTACCGGTTTTCTTTCAGACAAGTAGCTTTGGAAAAATCTTAGCGGAATTTCAGATAGTCCAATGTACTTCAGCTTGCTCAACATGATTTTGTGATTAACTGTATGAAAGGCTTTTGAGAAATAAGTCATCACTAATATGGTATTAATACGTCTGTCTAAGTTACCTACGATGTTGTCAGTTAGATGAAGCAAAGCTGAAGTAGTGATAATTATGAGCAAGTAGATTTTGTCCTCAGTCTGATCTCGTGTGTTTTTGAATGCAGGGATATGCTGTGGTTGACTGTTCGGGTCATGTTAGAGACCTGAAATGCGAGATGATGGAATTGCCGCATGGTTACTATATTTTAACTTTAATGCTAAGTTAAAGATAAAAATGTCACGCTATAATCACACGAGTAATCACTCCACATGGCACTATCAGTGCCAAACTTACGCCGTCACCAAAATGTAAAGTATTTAGGTACTCAAAAATATTCCCAACACAACGTAATGATGTAAGAATGGTTGTATTTTTACATACCAAATCTCACTCAGTTATTAAATATAATGTGTAATGGGTGCAATAAGTTGAATTAATGAGAATATACACCTTCACTAACATATATAGACATTTAGATATACAGAGTGATCCCAACACACAACAAATAATTCACCATTCTTCGGTCTTACGTTTTCTTATATATTATAATACATTTCTATATTAAAGGAAGTTGTAAACATAAAGCATCTTCAAGATCTAAGAGAATTGTGAGTTCTCCGTAGATGGCGTACATATCAATATCTGCCCACTATTAAGATATCCCAGAAACCTAAGATATAACTTTCCTAAAATTATATCTATTATTTACTTTGCGGAACCAAAACACTGACTGCACTAAATATAGCTCGGTAGAACTCCATACAAATAGTTTTATACTCAATTTCTTTTATTTTGAATAGATCAGCGATCCCCTATCAAACAATCGATATCAATAATTTTATTACTTTAGCGGAATCGTTATGCTTTTGTCTGATGTGGATTTTACCCAAGCAAATAATTTGTAGAAAGAGCATTTTGTTATTACAGCACATCCTTTTTGGGACTTGAACTTCATATTTTTTGAGAGCCACCACTTAAATTTGAATAAAATGACTGAATTGCAAATTTTCCATAACTTAACCAAATCTTATCCAAAAATTTGCTGTTGTTGCCTCTAATCTACTTGAGACCGGTAAATGATAGTCCGTGAACTATAACCCGTGCAACATCGTTAGTTCCTATTTGATAACACCAACCCTAAAATCTTAAATGGAAAGGGGGGTCGAGTGATACCTTATTTTAAAGGTCTTTCAATTCCCTTTATAACGATGTGAAATACATGAGCTTCAGTTCAGTAGTTTTGAAGATTTATTGATTTGAAGCTTAAAGTATACATAAATGATATTACTATAATATACAGGGTGGCGCATCGAAAACGAAACAGACGCATTTACTGGCTGCTCAGTTTTTTTTTTTGGAAAAACGCTCAGACCCGTCGATTTTGTTTTCGAGGGGGACACAAGTGTGGCAAAAAATCACGTTAACACGTGCAGCCCCCTGGGCGGGGGTGACAACAACCCTAAAATCTTAAATGGAAAGGGGGGTCGAGTGATACCTTATTTTAAAGGTCTTTCAATTCCCTTTATAACGATGTGAAATACATGAGCTTCAGTTCAGTAGTTTTGAAGATTTATTGATTTGAAGCTTAAAGTATACATAAATGATATTACTATAATATACAGGGTGGCGCATCGAAAACGAAACAGACGCATTTACTGGCTGCTCAGTTTTTTTTTGGAAAAACGCTCAGACCCGTCGATTTTGTTTTCGAGGGGGACACAAGTTTGGCAAAAAATCACGTTAACACGTGCAGCCCCCTGGGCGGGGGTGACACCAACCCTAAAATCTTAAATGGAAAGGGGGGTCGAGTGATACCTTATTTTAAAGGTCTTTCAATTCCCTTTATAACGATGTGAAATACATGAGCTTCAGTTCAGTAGTTTTGAAGATTTATTGATTTGAAGCTTAAAGTAGACTTTAATAGGAACATCATATTAGTTTGTACTACTTTCAAAAGCAATTTGACTAAAAGGATTTACTTAATAAGTAAATGCTTTTCT